TTAGGTGAAAATTTTTTGACATCTGAATTGAGGGTATTACTAGTAAATTGATGGATTGTGACCAGCTTGGATTGTTGTACACAGATTACACAGACAGACATTTAGTCTACAAATTCTAATAATCATACTGAACCATTTCACTGGAAAACTTATGAAAACATAACAATGAAATATGAAATATTTCCTTTTCAAATAACTCACAATTTCAAACCTCCAAAATACAAAGTCAAATAACACACTTCTGACATGGTATATACAAACTATTTCATAAATGAGAAAATATATATATACCAACCCGCTGCGTCTGCTTTCAACTGACTTTGGAGAAGGCGTACTTGTGGCAGATATCTCCAGCTCTTCTATCCTTGGTAATGCTACAGTTATTCCTTTATGACCAGGTTGTAATGTCTGCTGCAAAAGATAATGGGGTACTTTTTAAACATTTTAAAACACTGAAGGTGAAAATAAAGTGTTATACTACACATATTATCTCTCATGAAATGAACAAGCACTTATTTAGCCGATTGGCTTCCTACTTCAGAAAGAAAAAGTCATGCACACATTGATAAACAAATATCTTTAAACAACATCTTGTCAATGGAACTTGTTTTCCCTTTTTTTAAAATTATCTATTCTTACCTGAGGCTGCACAGAGTAGGTAGGTGTTTGCAGTGTGTTTCTAGCACTCTCTGTTGGTATAGGGGATATGGGAGGAGATACGGCTGCTCTCTAAAACACAGTAAAAACATGTTAAAAAATAAATCTAACAATTTTGTAATGCTAGCCATGTCACTGAGCAGCTTAAAGTCCACTTAAAATACTGTCTAATGAATCAAGAGGGACTACAGATTAACCTAAATGTAGGAAAATGAAGACGGGGGTGTTTAAAAACTTTTTTTAGAAGAATGTATATTGCCAAATTAGATTTCTAAAATATTTTCTATAACATTAAGTTAAACTAAATACTTACTGTCTGCTGTTGCAATATAACTGCCATTTTCTGTTGTGCTTCTTTAAGCTGTTTATTTAACTCCTGTATCTGCAAAGATGGATTTTCTTTCTCCATTTTGTCACCATGACCAGCATTTGGTTTCATTGTCTGTAACAGAAGCAAAACAAATTGTAAAATATTAAAACATGTCTCTTGAATAAAAACGCCTTTGTTGTGCTACATCTTTTCCACATTAATATGCAAGAAACTACCCACAGATTAATGTAAAAAACATCATCAACAAAGCCAATCTTATGTAAATCACTCCCTAAAGACTAAGGCTTTTTTAAAACTAGCAAGCATCTTGGTGCACTCTAGCACTATTTTGTTTGTTTTAGCAAAAATTCTAAAGTTTTCTAAAGCATTCAGTATGAAATTGCTTCTGTGCTAGACAGCTAACCTGGAGATTGGACTGTTGTCCCTGAGCTGTTGCCTTGTCTAATGTTTGACCATTCTCTTGTAGCTGGCCAGTTGGTGAAAGACCCCTCTGTAGCTGCTGGAGTCTGTCCTGTGCTTGACTGTGCTGTTCATTCAGTACTGCAACCTAGTGGTGGTACACACATACATTTAAAACAGCACATAAATAGTATTCAAACAATTTAAAAATGCTGATGATGTTAAATGCATAGGATATCAAAAATTCTTATAAGACCCCACTTGTTCTATTTTCCTACAATCAACTGACACAGAGAAGACCAACAATATTAAATGGATCAAACCATATTAAAAAAGGTATACTAAAACAACATTCCATACCTGTTGTGCTATCTGTAAAATTTGTGACTTAAATAGCTTTTCCCTGGACTCCTCAGTCACTGCAGCCTGCAGGTGCTGAGTGTTGGTGACTTCCTTCAGAGGTTGCCACTGCTGTGTGGACTGTTGAGGCTGTGAGACTGGAAGTGAGGCATACTCTGGCATTGAAATATTTTGCTGGGAAAGTGAAGGATTGGGTCCACGCACTGTTGACTGTACTGTCTGCAAAGGCTGCTGTTGTGGCTGATGTCCATGAGTCTGGTCCAGTGTCACTAGGGGCGCTGGTCTCGGGACAATGACATGGGCTGTGGTGCTGTCAGAGGACCAGGTGGGAAGATTACCAGTCCCTGGCATAGCACTGTTATATCCTGGAAGTACATACGTCAAGCATGGGTTGAAGTTGCATCCATGGTGTGAGCTATAAATATTATACTTATGACTTACTTTACAACACAAGATGAGAATTCTGCAATCAAATTGAAAAATTCTACAAAGTTCCACAAAATAAATATTAGAAATTTTGTCAGTGTAAGATGTCATTTTTGGATTCCAGCTTTTATTACCATAAGAATCCACTCTTGCTGAGGTTGCTGCTGTAGATATCACTGGAGGAGCGGGTCTCTTCTGATGTGGACCTGAGCTCAAAACCTCTGTCATCTGATTGGCTAGCTCATCAACTGAAGGGGAATCTTCAATAAACAGGGCAGAGAAAAAGGCTTACAGTAAAGTCAACTGATAAAATTCTTCAATAATAAAGAAGTGTGAAAAAGATGACCATGGCTATGACTGAAGAGAAATGACTGATAGACTATGAAATTTTGCTGAGTACTTGAGTTATTCCTAGTCTTGATCTGAGAAGTCAATCTGCCTACCCTGTCTATTTTCCGACCTCCTCCTTCCACTGTTTATAGTTGATGGAGTTGATAAATTCATGGGTCTTTTGTTCATCTCTGAATACATGTTCTAGATTGTAAATATAGTAAAGCTTCTAAAATTTTTTTCAGGCAAGAATGACATAAAAAACCTCCTGTTTGTTTATAATAATATATAATCTATAATATCTATAATAATATATATCACAAAGTTTTATTTCTGAAAAATGATAACTCTGCTCTAACACCTGCTACATTAAAAAAACTTCATAAGATCGAAAATCAAAAACTTAATTAGTTCAAAGAACTTGGAAAATCAAACCTTAAGGTAGGTAAACTGCTCATCTGTGTTTTGCTTGTACTTGGCGAATTCTTCTCTTATTTTGACATTCTCCTCTTGTGTACTGATGATGTCCTAAAATCAGACATGACTTCAAGATTAATTTTGAAAAGAAAAGTGTAACACAACCACAATTTAACCAAAAATTGTGGAAATAAACACAAAATTTATTATACATGTGATTGGAAATTTACCAATAGAAAGACCTAAAAATAAGAAGACTTTAAAATATATTATCAACATGCAAATTTGCACTATAAATACTGTAACTCACTGAAGTTACTGCATCAACTAGCTGGTTTAAATGCTGCACTTCTTGTGACAGCTGCTCTCTAACTGTCATCTCTGCCGCTAGTTGAATTTCAGTCTTAAAATAGAGTAAATCCTTTTAATATTCTATAGCAGAAGTAACTAAATAGCTCTGATATCATGCCAAATTCATAGCAAATATAAATAGGATAGCTTTTTTCAACGCGACTTCTATTTCCCATCTGTTTAATTATAAAATATATTCATTATGACTGTTAAGATAATATCAAATTTATCAGAATGCTGTAAGAGATTTAGGCAAAATGACTAGTGAGCACTGGCAATACCAATATTTTCCTTTCAGAATAGTGACCCAGTATACCTGTTTAAGATATCTAACCAGTCTAGTCACTGCATCTACAATGGCCACTGTGTACCCAGAGAATGTGTCAGTGTACAATCTCTCTGCTGCAGGCTGTCTGCCAGTCTTCTGTTCATAGTCTGCCAGCTCATTCTCCAGTGATACCAATACCTGCAGTCAAACCAACAGTCACATACCATATCTAACACAGCTGATTTCATAGTTTTTTGTCTAAAATGATTTTAAACTTCAACCCCAATCTTGTTATGTCCTGGAATTTGTTACTGGCAATTTATTTCAATCAAAATAAATATAAAATGGTAAAAGATTTTATGCAAACCAGCAGTATGAAGGTAATCCTTAAACCCTTGTTATTTGTGCTGTCATGTTACTATAATTGCATTAAAACTTAAATTTGAACTATTTCATGTCAAGGAAAATTCTTATTCATATAACCTTTGGTTTTCAGTTCACCTAAATACATTACACTGACCTGCTTAAGTGCTGTGATATTTGTCAGTCCTGATACATTCAGAGGGGACTGGGACTTGTTCATCCTATTTTTGCTTCTCTTAGCTTTTTCTGTTCCATTGATAGCGCCCGAGCTATCACCAGTATTTTTGGGTGTATACACTGCCTTATCTCCAGTTGGCAGTGAGTGTGATGGCCCACCAGATGGGGCAGGAACTGTAGAAACTTATAGTTATATTTAGTCAATTTTTAAAATTTCACATTAAAAAAATTAATAAATCAATAAATTTAATAAATCAATCAATTTTTTTAATTAAAAATTAATAACACAGTAAATCTATATGTTTCTTTTAAAAAGCAACACCTTTTCAAAGTTTGAATAAACTAGAAGGTTAAAAAAGCTCTTTTTTTTTCAAAAATCACGAGAAAAAATTTCACCTGCTTTTTTTCCTTGGACAAATGTACTGGATGCTTGGCCTTGCTGCACAGACAGTGGCGCTGCAGTGACTTGACTTCCCTGGATAGTACTCAGCTCTTGAGGATCAGCCCTCTCCTTCTCAAGAAAATGTCTAAACCTGTCCAAGTCAATCTGAGGTTGGTATTGCAAGTCTGTGCTTTCTTCTACAAAAATCGATATAAAATGCTCTTAACAAACACTATTTAAAAAAGTCAAATGGCCTAGGACTTGAACTTCTGCCACAATAAAATAAACAACCATAAGCATTTTGCTTCGAGTATTTGGCATGATTATGATAAAGCTGTCGAAGCTGCTCTGCAACAACTATCCTGGTCCTCAAGTTGTATGTTACAGACCTCTTTTGCTGTTTCTTGCCCCTAGAGTAACGTACTTTCATGTCCTGCAAATTACTGTCAATGATCTTGATCTGAGCCAAAGCTTTGAAGAACTTGATTTCTGTTTCAAAGTACTGGACAGGTAGTGTGTCAAGTGGAATCACTGACAATGCAGAGTTCTTGTTGTCCATACTATCTGATGAGGTACAAGGTATTTGCTGTGTTCTTACTGATGATCAGAGAATGAGTAAGGAAAGGAGGAGAATCCAGCCTTATATATACAACTAGCTTCAAGAAATAACACCTGGTGCCATCCCAGGGGAAAATCTTGGTTGCTATGGAGATAGAGTAGGTGTTACAAGTACTGAGTAGTTCACCTTAGGAGATGATAATCATCAGTAGTTAACAGGTAAATTGCATAAATGAGTGCTTAATAACCCATGCAGGGGTGGATTAACCTCTCCTTAGCCCAATTACTTCTTCAGTTAACTATCAGAGGTCAATAAGTTACTCCATGAACCAATTACTTTTTCAAATTAATATATCAGCTATTAACCAACAGTGTGATTGCTTTTTACCAGTTAAAACATTATCGGAGTGCATTCAAATTTATTTTCAACTTATATCAATCAATGGTAAATCATCAGTCATGACTTTCTGTGAAGGCTAAGTAATGACTTTCTTAGCCATAGTCAAAATACTGAAGTTGATAATGTCTATAATTTATGTGCAAGTTTGGCTCATTTGCTTGGTAATAGATAATGTACACAGATACCTTGAGGAAAGGTTTTCATTGCATGATTAATCAACAATAAATCATTTCAATTTTGAAATTTGTCGTTCCCTTCTTTGTCCAAAAGTCGACACTGCAAAAGTTTAGATAAATGATAACTTGGAAGCGTATTATAATTGATGTTTCGCTTAACCTAAATATTATGAAAATATTTGTCCACAATGTATCATAATGTTGTTCAATGTCATTTTATTTTTAAGGAGGACATTTCTCTAAGTCCCAAAAATATGTAAACTTTATTTTGATATTCAATACAGTACCTCACATCCAGTCCAGAAAAGAAATGTGCAATTGAATGATTAAAAGGGCGAAGTAACTCTAATGTTAACTGCTGATGGATGAAAATATTATAATATTAGATAGGGCAAAGCATGGATATGCCAGTCTTTATTTATAATATTGATCTTAATATACTGTTGAACATTTTTACATTAAATTTATTTTGCAAAACATGAACTCAGTAAGTCAAATTAGGTATAAAATTTGTACTATTTTCGAAAGGTCTTCCAGCTTTTACAAAATTGTATAATTGTTACTTGCATTTGTTCTATATAACTGTGTAACTGCTAATGCTACAAGACAGCTGGGTCTTGAAATGACAAAAAATGACTTTGGTAGAGATTAAAATGTGGATAGTATATCTTTAAAATGTCTACCTAAGATTATTCAAACCACAAGTTAATAAGGAGCTGTGACCATTGCATAGTTTGGATAAAAATTAGCAGTTAACAGGCCAAATCTTGCCCAAGGCCCGAAGGATGCTGCCAATTACCTGGGGACTTTCCTTAATATTGAGAATCGTAGAATTGCAGATCTGATATCAGATCCTACTTAACCTCTGGTTCTAAATTCAAATTGTAGATTAGTTAATTACCTGGTTACTACTTGTAACAGTCCAAATTAGTCCTCAGAGTAGTCATTAACTCATTAATTTCTGATTATTATTATCTCCTCAGGTCAACCAGTTATACTCAGTGACACCTACTCTATTTCCATAGCAACCAAGACTTTTCCCTGGGAAGGCACCAGGTGTCATTTCTTGAGGCTAGATCAGTACTAGTAGCTTTGGGGGATATATAAAGCTGGATTCCCTCTTTCCACACTTATTCTCTGACCATCATTATGAGAGCACCAAATACATTGTAACTCAAAAGAAAGGATGGAAAGCAAGAACTCTGTGCTGTCAGGGATCCCACTTGACACACTACCTGCCCTGTACTTTGAAACAGAAACCAAGTTCTTCAAAGCTTTGGCTCAGATCAAGCTCATTGACAGTAAATTGCAGGACATGAAAGTGCGCTACCTCAGGGGCAAGAAACTGAAGAAAAAGTCTTTAACTTACACCTTGAAGACAAGGATAGTTGTGGCAGNTAAGGTGAAAATTTTTTGACATCTGAATTGAGGGTATTACTAGTAAATTGATGGATTGTGACCAGCTTGGATTGTTGTACACGGATTACACAGACAGACATTTAGTCTACAAATTCTAATAATCATACTGAACCATTTCACTGGAAAACTTATGAAAACATAACAGTGAAACATGAAATATTTCCTTTTCAAATAACTCACAATTTCAAACCTCCATAATACAAAGTCAAATAACACACTTCTGACGTGGTATATACAAACTATTTTATTTCATAAATGAGAAAATATATATATACCAACCTGCTGCGTCTGCTTTCAACTGACTTTGGAGAAGGCGTACTTGTGGCAGATATCTCCAGCTCTTCTATCCTTGGTAATGCTACAGTTATTCCTTTATGACCAGGTTGTAATGTCTGCTGCAAAAGATAATGGGGTACTTTTTAAACATTTTAAAACACTGAAGGTGAAAATAAAGTGTTATACTACACATATTATCTCTCATGAAATGAACAAACACTTATTATTTATTGCAGTTATTTAGCCGATTGGCTTCCTACTTCAGAAAGAAAAAATCATGCACACATTGATAAACAAATATCTTTAAACAACATCTTGTCAATGGAACTTGTTTTCCCTTTTTTTTAAATTATCTATTCTTACCTGAGGCTGCACAGAGTAAGTAGGTGTTTGCAGTGTGTTCCTAGCACTCTCTGTTGGTATAGGGGATATGGGAGGAGATACGGCTGCTCTCTAAAACACAGTAAAAACATGTTAAAAAATAAATCTAACAATTTTGTAATGCTAGCCATGTCACTGAGCAGCTTTAAGTCCACTTAAAATACTGTCTAATGAATCAAGAGGGACTACAGATTAACCTAAATGTAGGAAAATGAAGACTGGGGTGTTTAAAAACTTTTTTTAGAAGAATGTATATTGCCAAATTAGATTTCTAAAATATTTTCTATTAACATTAAGTTAAACTAAATACTTACTGTCTGCTGTTGCAATATAACTGCCATTTTCTGTTGTGCTTCTTTAAGCTGTTTATTTAACTCCTGTATCTGCAAAGATGGATTTTCTTTCTCCATTTTGTCACCATGACCAGCATTTGGTTTCATTGTCTGTAACAGAAGCAAAACAAATTGTAAAATGTTAAAACATGTCTCTTGAATAAAAACGCCTTTGTTGTGCTACATCTTTTCCACATTAATATGCAAGAACCTACCCACAGATTCATGTAAAAAACATCATCAACAAAGCCAATCTTATGTAAATCACTCCCTAAAGACTAAGGCTTTTTTAAAACTAGCAAGCATCTTGGTGCACTCTTGCACTTCTTTGTTTGTTTTAGCAAAAATTCTTAAGTTTTCTAAAGCATTCAGTATGAAATTGCTTCTGTGCTAGACAGCTTACCTGGAGATTAGACTGTTGTCCCTGAGCTGTTGCCTTGTCTAATGTTTGACCATTCTCTTGTAGCTGGCCAGTTGGTGAAAGACCCCTCTGTAGCTGCTGGAGTCTGTCCTGTGCTTGGCTGTGCTGTTCATTCAGCACTGCAACCTAGTGGTGGTACACACATACATTTAAAACAGCACATAAATAGTATTCAAACAATTTAAAAATGCTGATGATGTCAAATGCATTGGATATAAAAAATTCTTATAAGTCCCCACTTGTTCTATTTTCCTACAATCAACTGACACAGAGAAGACCAACAATATTAAATGAATCAAACCATATTAAATAAGGTATACTTCAACAACATTCCATACCTGTTGTGCTATTTGTAAAATTTGTGACTTAAATAGCTTTTCCCTGGACTCCTCAGTCACTGCAGCCTGCAGGTGCTGAGTGTTGGTGACTTCCTTCAGAGGCCGCCACTGCTGTGTGGACTGTTGAGGCTGTGAGACTGGAAGTGAGGCATACTCTGGCATTGAAATATTTTGCTGGGAAAGGGAAGGACTGGGTCCACGCACTGTTGACTGTACTGTCTGCAAAGGCTGTTGTTGTGGCTGATGTCCATGAGTATGGTCCAGCGTCACTAGGGGCGCTGGTCTCGGGACAATGACGTGGGCTGTGGTGCTGTCAGAGGACCAGGTGGGAAGATTACCAGTCCCTGGCATAGCACTGTTATATCCTGGAAGTACATACGTCAAGCATGGGTTGAAGTTGCATCCATGGTGTGAGCTATAAATATTATACTTATGACTTACTTTACAACACAAGATGAGAATTCTGCAATCAAATTGAAAAATTCTACAAAGTTCCACAAAATAAATATTAGAAATTTTGTCAGTGTAAGATGTCATTTTTGGATTCCAGCTTTTATTACCATAAGAATCCACTCTTGCTGTGGTTGCTGCTGTAGATATCACTGGAGGAGCGGGTCTCTTCTGATGTGGCCCTGAACTCAAAACCTCTGTCATCTGATTGGCTAGCTCATCAACTGAAGGGGAATCTTCAATAAACAGGGCAGAGAAAAAGGCTTACAGTAAAGTCAACTGATAAAATTCTTCAATAATAAAGAAGTGTGAAAAAGATGACCATGGCTATGACTGAAGAGAAATGACTGATAGACCATGAAATTTTGCTGAGTACTTGAGTTATTCCTAGTCTTGATCTGAGAAGTCAATCTGCCTACCCTGTCTATTTTCCGACCTCCTCCTTCCACTGTTTACAGTTGATGGAGTTGATAAATTCATGGGTCTTTTGTTCATCTCTGAATACATGTTCTAGATCGTAAATATAGTAAAGCTTCTTAAATTTATTTCAGGCAAGAATGACATAAAAAAACTCCTGTTTGTTTATAATAATATATAATCTATAATATCTATAATAATATATATCACAAAGTTTTATTTCTGAAAAATGATAACTCTGCTTTAACACCTGCTACATTAAAAAAAACTTCATAAGATCGAAAATCAAAAACTTAATTAGTTCAAAGAACTTGGAAAATCAAACCTTAAGATAGTTAAACTGCTCATCTGTGTTTTGCTTGTACTTGGCGAATTCTTCTCTTATTTTGACATTCTCCTCTTGTGTACTGATGATGTCCTAAAATCAGACATGACTTCAAGATTAATTTTGAAAAGAAAAGTGTAACACAACCACAATTTAACCAAAAATTGTGGAAATAAACACAAAATTTATTATACATGTGATTGGAAATTTACCAATAGAAAGACTTAAAAATAAGAAGACTTTAAAATATATTATCAACATGCAAATTTGCACTATAAATACTGTAACTCACTGAAGTTACTGCATCAACTAGCTGGTTTAAATGCTGCACTTCTTGTGACAGCTGCTCTCTAACTGTCATCTCTGCGGCTAGTTGGATTTCAGTCTTAAAATAGAGTAAATCCTTTAATATTCTATAGCAGAAGTAACTAAATAGCTCTGATATCATGCCAAATTCATAGCAAATATAAACAGGATAGCTTTTTTTAACGGGACTTTTTTCCATCTGTTTAATTATAAAATATATTCATTATGACTGTTAACATAATATCAAATTAATCAGAATGCTGTAAGAGATTTAGGCAAAATGACTAGTGAGCACTGGCAATACCAATATTTTCCTTTCAGAATAGTGACCCAGTATACCTGTTTGAGATATCTAACCAGTCTTGTCACTGCATCTACAATGGCCACTGTGTACCCAGAGAATGTGTCAGTGTACAATCTCTCTGCTGCAGGCTGTCTGCCAGTCTTCTGTTCATAGTCTGCCAGCTCATTCTCCAGTGATACCAATACCTGCAGTCAAACCAACAGTCACATACCATATCTAACACAGCTGATTTCATAGTTTTTTGTCCAAAATGATTTTAAACTTCAACCCCAATCTTGTTATGTCGTGGAATTTGTTACTGGCAATTTATTTCAATCAAAATAAATATAAAATGGTAAAAGATTTTATGCAAACCAGCAGTATGAAGGTAATCCTTAAACCCTTGTTATTTGTGCTGTCATGTTACTATAATTGCATTTAAACTTATCACAAGCTTCAATCTACTTAAATTTGAACTATTTCATGTCAAGGAAAATTCTTATTCATACAACCTTGGTTTTCAGTTCACCTTAACAATACATTACACTGACCTGCTTAAGTGCTGTGATATTTGTCAGTCCTGATACATTCAGAGGGGACTGGGACTTGTTCATCCTACTTTTGCTTCTCTTAGCTTTTTCTGTTCCATTGATAGCGCCCGAGCTATCACCAGTATTTTTGGGTGTATACACTGCCTTATCTCCAGTTGGCAGTGAGAGTGATGGCCCACCAGATGGGGCAGGAACTGTAGAAACTTATATTTAGTCAATTTTTAAAATTTCACATTAAAAAAATTAATAAATCAATAAATTTAATAAATCAAACAATTTTTTTAATTTAAAATTAATAACACAATAAATCTATATGTTTGTTTTAAAAAGCAACACCTTTTCAAAGTTTGAATAAACTAGAAGGTTAAAAAAGTTCTTTTTTTTTCAAAAATCACGAGAAAAAATTTTACCTGCTTTTTTTCCTTGGACGAATGTACTGGATGCTTGGCCTTGCTGCACAGACAGTGGCGCTGCAGTGACTTGACTTCCCTGGATAGTACTCAGCTCTTGAGGATCAGCCCTCTCCTTCTCAAGAAAATGTCTAAACCTGTCCAAGTCAATCTGAGGTTGGTATTGCAAGTCTGTGCTTTCTTCTACAAAAATCGATATAAAATGCTCTTAACAAACACTATTTAAAAAAGTCAAATGGCCTAGGACTTGAACTTCTGCCACAATAAAATAAACAACCATCAACCCATATAATTAATGAAAGGTTAAAATATCCTTTAAATTAATTGCCCCTGAGGGGTTTTATAGTAAAAAAAAAATATAAAGTAAAACATAAAGGAGAGCAATATATATTAATAAGCAATAGAAAGAAAGTAAACTGTCCTTTTAAAAGGTTTTTCACTTTTAAAACTTTTCTTTTTTAAAAAAATAAAACCACATATGGTATAGCTTTTCTGGATCAGTTTAGTGGCCCTGAAAAGGGCCTTTTTAGCAGAATACTACTGAGGGCAATAGATTCTGGGCTGGGTTTGCAATAGCATCTCCAGCATTTTTTGCTTTGAATATTTGGCATGATTATGATAAAGCTGTCGAAGCTGCTCTGCAACAACTATCCTGGTCCTCAAGTTGTATGTTACAGACCTCTTTTGCTGTTTCTTGCCCCTAGAGTAACGTACTTTCATGTCCTGCAAATTACTGTCAATGATCTTGATCTGAGCCAAAGCTTTGAAGAACTTGATTTCTGTTTCAAAGTACTGGACAGGTAGTGTGTCAAGTGGAATCACTGACAATGCAGAGTTCTTGTTGTCCATACTATCTGATGAGGTACAAGGTATTTGCTGTGTTCTTACTGATGATCAGAGAATGAGTAAGGAAAGGAGGAGAATCCAGCTTTATATATACAGCTAGCTTCAAGAAATAACACCTGGTGCCATCCCAGGGGAAAATCTTGGTTGCTATGGAGATAGAGTAGGTGTCACAAGTACTGAGTAGTTCACCTAAGGAGATGATAATCATCAGTAGTTAACAGGTAAATTGCATTAATGAGTGCTTAATAACCCATGCAAGGATGGATTAACCTCTCCTTAGCCCAATTACTCCCTTCAGTTAACTATCAGAGGTCAATAAGTTACTCCATGAACCAATTACTTTTTCAAATAAATATATCAGCTATTAACCAACAGTGTGATTGCTTTTTACCAGTTAAAACAGTGCATTCAAATTTATTTTCAACTTATATCAATCAATGGTAAATCATCAGTCATGACTTTCTGTGAAGGCTAAATAATGACTTTCTTAGCCATAGTCAAAATACTGAAGTTGATAATATCTATAATTTATGTGCAAGTTTGGCTCATTTGCTTGGTAACAGATAATGTACACAGATACCTTGAGGAAAGGTTTTCATTGCATGATTAATCAACAATAAATCATTTCAATTTTGAAATTTGTCGCTCCCTTCTTTGTCCAAAAGTCGACACTGCAAAAGTTTAGATAAATGATAACTTAGTAGAGTATTATAATTGATGTTTTGCTAAACCTAAATATTATGAAAATATTTGTCCACAATGTATCATAATGTTGTTCAATGTCATTTTACTTTTAAGGAGGACATTTCTCTAAGTCCCAAAAATATGTAAACTTTATTTTGATATTCAATACAGTACCTCACATCCAGTCCAGAAAAGAAATGTGCAATTGAATGATTAAGAGGGTGAAGTAACTCTAATGTTAACTGCTGATGGATGAAAATATTATAATAAGATAGGGCAAAGCATGGATATGCCAGTCTTTATATATAATATTGATCTTAATATACTGTTGAACATTTTTACATTAAATTTATTTTGCAAAACATGAACTCAGTAAGTCAAATTAGGTATACAATTTGTACTATTTTCTAGAGGTCTTCCAGCTTTTACAAAATTGTATAATTGTTACTTGCATTTGTTCTATATAACTGTGTAACTGCTAAATGCTAAAAGACAGCTGGGTCTTGAAATGACAAAAATGACTTCGGTACAGATAAAAATATGGATAGTATACCTTTAACATGTCTACTTAAGATTATTAAAACCACAAGTTAATGAGGAGCTGTGGACCATTGCTCAGTTCAGATAAAAATTAGCAGTTAACAGGCCAAATCTTGCCCAAGGCCCAAAGGATGCTGCCAATTACCTGGGGACTTTCCTTAATATTGAGAATTGCAGAATTGCAGATCTGGTATCAGATCCTACTTAACCTCTGGTTCTAAAATCAAATTGTAGATAATAGATTAGTTAATTACCTGGTTACTGCTTCAACAGTCCTGATTAGTCCTTATAGTGGTCATTAACTCATTAACTTCTGATGATTATCATCTCCTCAGGTCAACCAGTTATACTCAGTGACACCTACTCTATTTCCATAGCAACCAAGATTTTTTTCCCTTGGATGGCACCAGGTGTCATTTCTTGAAGAAAGATCAGTGCTAGTAGCTTTGCAGGATATATAAAGCTGGATTCTCCTTCTTTCCGCACTCATTCTCTGACCATCAGTAAGAGAGCACCAAATACATTTTAACTCAACAGAAAGGATGGAAAGCAAGAACTCAGCGTTGTCAGGGATCCCACTTGACACACTACCTGCCTTGTACTTTGAAACAGAAACCAAGTTCTTCAAAGCTTTGGCTCAGATCAAGCTCATTGACAGTAAATTGCAGGACATGAAAGTGCGCTACTCCAGGGGCAAGAAACTGAAGAAGAAGTCTTTAACTTACACCTTGAAAACAAGGAGAGTTGTGGCCGAGCAGCTTCGACAGCTTTACTATGATCATGCCAAATTTTCGAAGCAAAAAATGCTAGAAATGCTCCTGCAAATCCAGCCCAGAATCTACTCTCCTCAGTAGATCATCATTCTTAACGGCCCTTTTCAGGGCCAATAATCACACAAGAAAAGCTATACCAAATGTCATATTTTTTCTATATTAAGAATTCCTGAATAAATTTTATCAAATCTGGTCTGGAAAACATTTAACTTTATCTGATATCAGATCCCACTTAACCTCTGGTTCTCTTCTCCAGTTTAATGAATTAGTTAATAACCTGGTTACAGCTAACGACAGTCCTGATTAATCCATGGAGTAGTCATTAACTCATTAACTTCTGATGATTATCATCTCCTCAGGTCAACCAGTTATACCAGTGACATCTACTCTATTTCCATAGCAACCAAGATTTTTCCCTTGGGATGGCACCAGGTGTCATTTCTTGAATCCAGCTGTATATATAAAGCTGGATTCTCCTTATTCCATACTCATTCTCTGACCATCAGTAAGAGAGCACCAAGTACGTTGCAATTATACAGAAAAGATGGAAAGCAAGAACTCTGTGCTGTCAGGGATCCCACTTGACACACTACCTGCCCTGTACTTTGAAACAGAAACCAAGTTCTTCAAAGCTTTGGCTCAGATCAAGCTCATTGACAGTAAATTGCAGGACATGAAAGTGCGCTACTCCAGGGGCAAGAAACTGAAGAAAAAGTCTTTAACTTACACCTTGAAGACAAGGATAGTTGTGGCCGAGCAGCTTCGACAACTTTATTATGACCATGCCAAATATTCAAAGCAACAAATGATGGAAATGCTCCTGCAAACCCAGCCCAGAATCTACTCTCCTCAGTAGCTCATTATTCTTAAAGGCCCTTTTCAGGGCCAATAATCACACAAGAAAAGCTTTACCAAATGTCAATTTAATTTTCATTTAAGTACTCAAAAATGATAACCCACCAAAATGAAATTTAATTGTGAATAAAGCAATATTTTCCTACTCATGCCTTACTATTCAACCCTTCCATGTATTTGGATTCATTGTGATATTCCATTTTTAATTCAATGATTTAGTTAACATATAATTACGGAAAAAAAATTAAAAATTATAATCTGTTGTCATATCACACCTTTTATCACCATTTTAAAAAGGAAATTTATTAATCCTGTTCCTAAAATATCTTAACTTAAATATGGCCCCATTCAGAATAAGGGACTCACTAGTCTGAGGGTCAAATATGGCGACCCACAACAAAGCTAATCCACTAATAGACAATGAACAGATATCCCGTGGGGAAGTACTCAAGTGGGTTGGCCATATTTGACACTCGCACTAGTTAATCCCCTATTCTGAATGGAGCCTATGATATTCAATACTATAAGTTATAACCCACATCTCGTCTAGAAAAGAAATGTTCAATGGTATGACAAAAAAAAAAAAAAAAAACCTTCACTGCTGATGGAAGAAAATTTCACAGCAGTAAGCAGATATCACTTGTTCTCAGGCAAGAAATGTCAGTCATACTAATAATATAAAATCTTAAACCGTGATTTTAATATATTGTCGAGTGGTTTTTATTTAAAGAAAAATTAAGCATTAGTTCAATAAGTCAAATTATTTTCATTAAAACATTTGATATTGTCATGTTGATTTATTGTGGTTTTTATTTAAAGAAAAATTAAGCATTAGTTCAATAAGTCAAATTATTTTCATTAAAACATTTGAAATTGTCATGTTGATTTATTGTTGCAATTTTAACATAAGAAAAAATGGAATAAGTATATTTGACATAATTTTTATCATTGAATAAATGTAACATTTAAAAACATAACAGCATCAAAGATTATAGTTCTATGCACTGATTTTCAACCTAACTAGCAGTGACAACACAATCTTGGTTGCCTTGGAAACACTTCCCATCATAAAAGTAAAAATTATCCTTTCTGGAATCTTATCCCCCAAATAAAATTTTCTTGAAAAAACATTCTTTTCTCTACATGAATCACTGTGCAGCCCATCCCTGCACTTAGATTTGATGTTTTATGCCATTTTGAACTGAATAATTTTGATTTAATTGTTCCCTGTAATGTTTACACTGTCTAATTGTATAATTCTGGTAAAAAAGTATCAAAATCAGGTACTAGTACTTTTATTTGAAGGCCTTTATTGTTTTATTAAAGGTCTAAATAAGGAATGATCAGTAGTTTTTCAGGTGATGTAGACACAGAAATGTGTGCTCTTTCCCAGGGTCTTCTAGCAGTTACACAATAGTATAAATGTTAATTTTATCATATGACACATTTTGATAACTGCTAACAGCACAAGACTGCTGGAAGAGAGAAGAAAAGACTAAGGTACAGATTTAAGCATGGACTGTACAAATATACCCTTAACATGTCCACCTTAGATAATTAATAACAACAAGTGAGTGGGTAGCTGTGGATCATTGCTCAGCTGGGATAAGCATCAGCCGTTACTAGGCAAAATCTTGCCTGAGGCCAAAAGAATGATGCCAAATACCTGAGGACTTTTGTCAACATTAAGAATTCCTGAATAATTTTTATCAGATTTGGTCTGGAAAACATTTAACTTCATCTGATATCAGATCCCACTTAACCTCTGGTTCTTTTCTCCAGTTTAATGAATTAGTTAATAACCTGGTTACTGCTACAATAGTCCTGATTAGTCCTTATAGTGGTCATTAACTCATTAACTTCTGATTATTATCATCTCCCCAGGTCAACCTGTTATACCCAATGACACCTACTCTATTTCCATAGCAACCAAGATTTTTCCCTTGGGATGGCACCAGGTGTCATTTTGAATCCAGCTGTATATATAAAGCTGGATTCTCCTTATTCCATACTCATTCTCTGACCATCATTAAGAGAGCACCAAATACATTGTAACTCAACAGAAAGGATGGAAAGCAAGAACTCTGCGTTGTCAGGGATCCCACTTGACACACTACCTGCCCTGTACTTTGAAACAGAAACCAAGTTCTTCAAAGCTTTGGCTCAGATCAAGCTCATTGACAGTAAGTTGCAGGACATGAAAGTACGCTACTCCAGGGGCAAGAAACTGAAGAAGAAGTCTTTAACTTACACCTTGAAGACAAGGATAGTTGTAGCAGAGCAGCTTCGACAACTTTATTATGATCATGCCAAATACTCAAAGCAACAAATGATGGAAATGCTCCTGCAAACCCAGCCCAGAATCTACTCTCCTCAGTAGATCATTGCTCTTAAAGGCCCTTTTCAGGGCCAATAATCACACAAGAAAAGCTTTACCAAATGTTTTTTTTTTTTTGTTTGAATTGTGAAATAAAATCTTTTGGTACCTTCAGACTGTTCCTCATCCATTTCATTCAGTGCACTTTTATCCATATGAGACTGACTGAGCATGTCCATCTGGGTGGATATTTCTGGTTCCTGATATATCAGTCCTTCTGACCTAAATGTAAAAAATAATGCAAATAACATTTTTTTTTAGAAAATGAAGCTGTGAATTAAAGTAGTTTCACCTTTAAATCAAACGTGGAATGATGTTGATGTTTCGCCCATCTATATGATCTATATGTATGTTTAAAATTTAAAACATTGCTTATCGAAAAACAAGTGATTCACATTACCTGTTTATTAAGGATTGGTTTGTCTGGTCTGGTACACATGTTATGTTGGGAATACCTTTGTAACGCTGAAAAATTTCATAAAATAAAACATCTGGCAAAAATATCATTTAAACTTATTCTGTCACTTTGTTACAGCTACACATTTTTCAAAAACATATCTATCCAGTTCATTTACAAAAGGATCCTTACTGGGTTTCATGATGTATGAAAATGAGAANAAAACCCAACTAGCAGTGACAACACAATCTTGGTTGCCTTGGAAACACTTCCCATCATAAAAGTAAAAATTATCCTTTCTGGAATCTTATCCCCCAAATAAAATTTTCTTGAAAAAACATTCTTTTCTCTACATGAATCACTGTGCAGCCCATCCCTGCACTTAGATTTGATGTTTTATGCCATTTTGAACTGAATAATTTTGATTTAATTGTTCCCTGTAATGTTTACACTGTCTAATTGTATAATTCTGGTAAAAAAGTATCAAAATCAGGTACTAGTACTTTTATTTGAAGGCCTTTATTGTTTTATTAAGTCTTTAACTTACACCTTGAAGACAAGGATAGTTGTAGCAGAGCAGCTTCGACAACTTTATTATGATCATGCCAAATACTCAAAGCAACAAATGATAGAAATGCTCCTGCAAACCCAGCCCAGAATCTACTCTCCTCAGTAGATCATTGCTCTTAAAGGCCCTTTTCAGGGCCAATAATCACACAAGAAAAGCTTTACCAAATGTTTTTTTTTGTTTGAATTGTGAAATAAAATCTTTTGGTACCTTCAGACTGTTCCTCATCCATTTCATTCAGTGCACTTTTATCCATATGAGACTGACTGAGCATGTCCATCTGGGTGGATATTTCTGGTTCCTGATATATCAGTCCTTCTGACCTAAAGGTAAAAAATAATGCAAATAACATTTTTTTTCACCTTTAAATCAAACGTGGAATGATGTTGATGTTTCGCCCATCTATATGATCTATATGTATGTTTAAAATTTAAAACATTGCTTATCGAAAAACAAGTGATTCACATTACCTGTTCATTAAGGATTGGTTTGTCTGGTCTGGTACACATGTTATGTTGGGAATACCTTTGTAACGCTGAAAAATTTCATAAAATAAAACATCTGGCAAAAATATCATTTAAACTTATTCTGTCACTTTGTTACAGCTACACATTTTTCAAAACATATCTATCCAGTTCATTTACAAAAGGATCCTTACTGAGTTTCATGATGTATGAAAATGAGAAGTTGAAAAAATATTTTTTTATCAATCTTACTGGTGGTGCATCTCCAAACAAGTCTTTCACGACTGCCATAGTTCTATCTGACCTTGAGAGCACATCCAACAACTTGAATATGAAAACATATTAAAATGAAGTCATTTAAATATCAACAGGTATATTAGATTATTACTTTGGAAAGTTAAACTTTCAATATATTTTATTAAAATAAAGATGTTCTAACAATCAGTACCATACAAAATATCACCAATCACAATGCAACTATTTTATTGTGACCATAAATGAAAACAATGCTCGTATTAAAAGCATTTGATAAGCCTGTTATTTTATTTGCCATATATCCAATAAAGCTGATGTTGCTGCTTCCTACTAGCATACATCAGTCCATGTCCAGAAAATTGCTTGAAACTATTAATGGTATGTACTTTCAAGGCATATACTTTACCTGGCTTTGATCATATAACACTTCTTTTATTAAGGCAGATTGCTGTGAGCTCCTGCTTGAATTCTGTCTTCTCCTTGCTTGAAAAACGTAAAAAAATATAAAGCTTAGGATAAAAGTAAAAGCAAAGATTTAAAATGATATAGATATAGTCGAGCACATTACATAAGGACATACCATCAAACTTGAAAAAATACTTGAAAATCCCAAAGATTCACTCACCAGCTGCAATAGATTTTTTTTGGAGTTCTTCCTTAACTTCCTCTAAATTATTCGACTTGTGAACTGCCTTTCTTCGTTGCTAAATAGAGGGCAAATTAAAATACTTATTTCCTCAACTCACTGTTAATGCTAGTTGGTGATAGTATCAAATTATATCAAATGGTTTGTAATGCTTTATTTTTTCTTCTGATCTATTTGGCAAGAATTATTTTGCATAAATACAGTCCAATTTAATGGAACAAAAATTGATTTTCTTAATATACTATACTATATATTGTCCAATTCAAATGACTTATCATCAAACTTACAACTTCCTCAGGACTTGCTTTGTAAACAGTTAGATCGTTCACAGTATCCTAAAAAAATTGTGAATTTAACCAAAATTTTATAAAAGGAAAAAAATCTGTACAGTCTTTTAGTTTGTTATTTCAAATTTTTATATTAGTTTGTTAATTCAATTTTTTATATTAGTTTGTTAATTCAAATTTTTATACAAAAGTTGTATAATCCGAAAAAAATGTTTGCGATTTCACATAAAACATTCATTATTTTCCCATAATATTGCCTTTTAATTTTTAGTTCAATTTAATTATCTACTGACATTTGAAAAATACAACATGAAAATGCTAATATTAATTATTCATCAAACCACTACCTCCTGTACTTACATCCCACTGTGGTTTTCTGGGCTTCTTCTTTACTTTGTTTTTATGACTTAGAGCTGGTGTTGCTCGCTTTGCCTTTGTTGTTCTCATAAATGACATCTCGACTGCTAGTGTTGATGGATTGTACTGATGTCAATAGGACTTTGAACTATAAAAGGTACATCTGAAAATAAAATGATTTGCAACAAATCTGCAATGGACATACTACTGTATGTCTCTTTGTGACTTAATGGAAAATGATTAAATAGTAATGTCCAAGGCTCTTTCAGGTGTTTAAGTTTTTACCTGTGTTACACACGGATTCAAGTACTGGTAGGTCTACTCAGTGATATTGTGGTATGTAACTGGTGATTTGACCCTTTAATATCATCCATAATTTACATTTATAAACAGATGTTAGGATCTCCAGCTAAAGGGTAATTTCTCTGGCCTTTTTAACCAGTTGTTATGGCTGTACCATGAAATACTAGTACTGATGAAATCAATTTGTTCCCTTGATAATTATTTCTCGACACCTGAACCCTTTCTTCCTGCCAGCAACATTGAGGAATAAAACCATGCTTCAATAAAGGCCTACACAATTATTAAGATACAGCCCATTTCACCCATTTCTATAGGTAAAGAAAAATGTTTGTACATAAGACAGTGTTGCTGGCTAGTGTTGCCCCAGGTTGGCAATTGATTTTTCGAATCACCCCCAAAGTCTTTTGCCAAGTGCACTTGTCTTTTGTATGCTACAGACTGCTATTACTAGTAAGACGTCGACACAACAGCACTACTGTACTCATACTTATAATTTTTAAGTCTACTATTACCCTCCGAGTCTCAAATGAAAACCAAAATCTTATTCTTGGCCCTCACTGACATATTTCTCTAAACATTCCAGTAAAGAATTATTTACAAATAAGGCCTCTTTACTATTACTACTACTACTACTACTACTACTACTACAACTGCTAATAATGTCAAAACTGGAGAGGTAATTAATTCAGATATTTCGCAAATAACTGAATGCTGGATAGTTTTACAATAATATATTAGGCATGCTATCATATATGCTAAATTGATTGCACTATAAATTCCTCGACAACACACATTCTTAATCAATAATGGTGACATACCATTCAAAATGATCCACTGAAACGTTTACTTATTTATCGAAACACCCGCCTATACAGAATGAGGCTCGACTGCACATAACAGCAGTTCGTCAAGGGACCAAGAAATATTAAACATGACCAAACTGAGGCAATTATAATACATTTGATAATATAGAAACACTAGATGGCTTCTCGTTGTAATATATATAAATGAAAATTTAATAATGTGTCTCGAAAAAGTGGGCAAATGACATCAAGAGTGTATGCTTCGTGTAGTTATGATTCGGATTTTGTTCCGTTGTTCAAATCACGATTGATAGATGGCGCCACTTTCGGTTGCAAAATAAAAAGAAAAGTTTGGACCACAAAACATGGCGAAAAGTAACGAAACTGAGAAAAAGGTTGTTATGCGTGTCGATATAGATGCAGTTGCAGAAGAAATTGCCCAGTGGAATAAGGTATCATAGCAGATTATCAATTTTTTGTATAATATAATGATAATACATTTTAGTTAGCTTAAAAAATTAATGCAACCTTGAAAGTTGTAAATTGGCAAAAGCAGACGACATAATCAATTTTGCTAGTCATGCTATATTTGACAATTAGCGTTAATATAGAGTGTGCTAGCATTGGTTAGACAATTACAGAAAAAGAATGTACCAATGTAAAATTTGTTAAAGCACATTTATTTGTTAAGTCTATTTTTTTCTTTAAATGATAAATATTAAACAGGTCATTTACGCTAATTGGCTAGGATTACACTTTAAAAAATTAAAATAAAAGTTAACATATTTCAGCTGATGATTGATACAGATACCAACAAGAAACTGCTGGAAAAGGAAGTTAATATCCTCAGAAAATGTTGTGAAGATGCAGAAGAAAGCAAGACATTTTTGAAAAATGGTACATATATACTGTACAGTGGCGGATTTAGAGGGGGGGGTCAAGGGGTCCAGACCCCCCTTCGGTATCTGGTCCACTCTTGAAATTAGAATTTTGACAAGCTTAATCATAGTCCTAAACCATACCAAATGGCACCGGTCGTCTTCTAAAATACCAAAAAATGTTCTGATGGGCCCCTAACCCCACGCCAAGTGAGGGAGGGGGGGGGGAGTCGGTTTGGCATCCGCGGACCCCCCCTCCCCCTTCAAATAATCCTGGATCTGCCCCTGCATACCCTGTATATATCTTACTGAACATACATGTACCAAACAGTAGAATTTACATCTGTCCAGAATCTAGAAAGTTGAATGAAACTGAAAAAAGCTTACAAGAAATAATTATGTAAGCTGTTTTGGATAAAAAAATATGGTGATTTTAGATTTAGGGAAAGGTGCTGAAATTTTATGGAAAGTTGAAGTTTTGCTAAAAGGTTTAATGTTTATTGAGTGCATTAATTTAGATCTAAGCTTCATTTTTTTTTCACCTCAAGAAATAAGGCACCTGAGATGTATGGTGGACCAGATTCAAGGATCTTTAAGTAAAAGATGTGACTGTGAAGGTACTAATTTTTTTGAAAGCATTTGCTATTGATACTTTGGACCAAAGATTCCTTGAACAAACACGAGAAAGTTTCAAAACCATGAATCTTTAGACTGTTAAACTATCAGTAACCAACTTTATATATTGCCAGGAAAAACAAGTTACTTAAAAAAGGATATTGATCTTTGATATTATATGTTAAACTATTTCTGTAATGGAAAAGTAATGATAACTTTTTTTCCAAAATTGAAAACAGATGAAAACAGAAAATTAAAACAAAGATTAAAAGAAATGGAAGAAGATGATATCAAAAGAAATCAGGTAGTTATGATTATCTCAAGACCAAATTGGGGAAGCCAGAAGTAAGAAAGAAAACTGCATTTAAAAAGTGTTTAAAAGAATATTAAGAAAAGTAGCAAAAGTTTGAACATCAATATTTATTTCCCAAAATTGGGAGAGGGTTCACAGGTTTGCCATGTAAATAAAACTACCACGAAATTGTGAAACTGTATAATTTTGAAAATAAGTTATGTCAAGATAAAAAAAAGAACTGCATATAAACTGCCCTTTATCTTCAGCATTTGGAATTTGTCTTAAGTTGCTTAGTCTATTCATTAATTGTAGCAATAATAAATTTCATCCTAGGATCACCAAGAAAAAGTTGACAGTATGCAAGCAAAATTGGTTGAGCTTATGAATCGGCATCAACAGGAGTTGACGTCTACTGAAAAAAATGTGATGCAAAAGTGTAAGTAGAAAAAGAGTCCCTATAGCAAGTCGTTTTGATTTGCACAGTTGCTGGGTCCAGAAACTGTAATTTTAAGGGAGAAAATGTGGAAATAACAAATATACTCAAGTGTTGATCATGGATCCTGTTTCAGTAGTTTGGTGAAAAATAAAACCAGTACATGACGTATTGTTTAATGCAGTACAATGTCTTGAGACTGTTATAGTTTTAATAGTCATCTGGATTATAATTTGAATTTTAATTCTAAAATAGGTCAAGCTGAAATTGATCGTCTAGAAACAATTGTGTCAGAGAAGATGGTGTTGGTTGAGAAACTGAAAAATCAAATGTCACAGCTGGAGAAGGATAAACAGGCAGAACTAGTTGGACTAAGATCAGAGGTAACCATTTTCTTATTGACCTCGCATTTAAATTATGAGTATACTATATGCATATGAAAATTTCCAAATTTCCATTATTATTTTTGTCCGAATATTCTGCAAAGCTACTCATCCTCCCAATGCAGAACTTTAAAATAATAAAACCCATCTAAAATGTACACAATGTCATTATTTCGTCTGAAATGTCAGGAAGACTATGGCTGTCTAAATGAATCATGATTCTTAAGAACTAAGTCACTTGAAAATTAGAAATGCTGAAAATTCAAGTGCAGGGGCCTGTCGAGTAGGAGAAAATATTTTGTGTGGCAATTCAGATGTGGCTTGGAAATCTTGTAGAATACCTTAAATTTGTTGAAATTTTCACTAAAATGTCTAATGGACAGTTTGGTTATGGATATTTTCTTTTTTAAAAGTAGCATTTAGACGTCTCATGAAATAAATTTAATAAATAAATTTAGACAAAGCAGTATCTTGGTATTTGAATATGTTAAGGTAAGTTCTGAAAAGACTGAACAATAGTTCCTTATAGGAAAATTTAATCAGTTTTTACATTTTTACAAGTATGATGGAAAATTGCTGAAAATTCAGAAACAAAATGCCAAAATCCAACAAACAGGTCAAGGAAACTCTGCTGGCAGTGAGATATTCAGAAAGGTAAGGCATTATTTTGAAGGGGGGGGGGGGGCAATGATAATCCAGTGGTAAAAATTGCAGATTTCATTTTGATTCTAGATTTAAAAGTTTGACAATGGTGAAATAACTTGTGAGCTCAAGGTAGCAAAAGCTTTAGTCTAAATTTTTTCAGATTTTTTTCCTTCACTTAATTTTGAGGATTGAAGAACCTAAGTTAAAAGTGCACCTTTTCAAATTTTAACTTCCAGAAACTGAAACACATAAAGGAAGAACATGAAAAGGAAGTTTCATCCTTGAAAAGAACCATTTTGGTATTAGAACAAAAACTGAACCAAAGAAATGCGTCATGCTCCAACATTAGTCCTGCCAGTGACAAGTACCCACTTAGCAAAAGGTTTAAAAGAATGTAATAATAATAATAATAATAATCATAATAAAAGATAAATTACAATAGTTAAAGGAAATATTTGTTAAGACTAATTAATACCAAGTGATTTTTTTCTTGATCTAATATGTGAACACAAAGAACAAAATCAGTTTTCACTGTTTTGATAAATTTTATTTCAAGTTTTGCACATTTTGTATTTTGTGAAAAATTATTAAAATTGAAGTTTTACTTATGATAGTGCATACTCGCATAAATACTGACAAAAAAATTAACATTTTAACATATTGGAGAAAAGCTATTCTAGCAAAGCATCTGTGAAGGATGGCTACCTTCTGTATCCATTTAAAATATACAGACTATACTTACAGACTATGTACATCCCTCTCTTCAGCAGAGACAATTTTACAACCCATTGAAATAAAATCACTAATTAATATAAAAATTTTCAGCAAGAGAAAAGTGAAGATTAATCTTTAATTTAAAAAACTTGTGATCTCAATGTTTACTTTGGTTTGACTCTACAAGTTGTCTCAAATGAACAAAACCTTCATTTCTAATAAACTAAGTCAAGTAATGTTCATGTCATTCAATCTTGCAACTTTGGCTCGACAAATAATGCTGAACACCAGTCATTCTTAGTACTACATAATACAAGAACTTCCTGTAGTAAATGCAACCTAGTGTATGTCTATACACTATAATCATTTTGTCATCTAGATATTAATGGAGGTGAATCTTTAAAATGTGTGGTCTTCATGATATATACTCATTCCTATATGTCTCTTCATTTAAGGATGGAAAGTTTACTTTAGGAAGACAAGTCTGATACCGACAGTATGTGTGCTCCCAATGCATTTTTTTTTGTGATGATAAAATTTTTAGCTGTGATAAATTTATCTTACAGGTCTTCCACAGCTTAGTTCCTGTATGTTGTAATGCACTTGATAAGATAGTGACGTCTAAATTTTAATGAAGCATTCTGACCTCAGATCTGTTGATAAAATGCAAAATCTTCAGTCTTTACTCTTACCATCCTCACTTCCATTCTGTTCACTTATATTAATAATACTAATTTAATTAAATTAGTATTATATTAATAATACTAATTTAATTAAATATTTACGATATTTTCTTTATTTTGAAAATGATATAGCAATATTTTAAACATAATCTTCATGATCTGATTTTTGTTTGTCTACAGAGCACAACCGCATGAAGTTAGTTGTAACTCAATTTTGTAAAACTTATCTGAAATCTTTATTCAGTGAATGTTTTTGATCAAATTTTAATACTTTAATTGTCAACAAGATTGGAGAAAACATTTAACCTTGACAAATGCTGACAAAATATGCATGTTACGTTTTTCAGAAAAATGTTGTTGGCTTGAAATTATCTGCTGTATATCTTTAAGATCAGTGTAGACCTACGTTAATACAGTCAATTCAATCTTTCCTTTAGCTCGTTTTAAAATAGCAACTGCTTCCTCATGAGTAACTCCTTCTAGACTTTCTCCATTGACAGCTTGTATCTGATCCCCACGTTTTAGCCTCCCATCTTCTGCTGCTGCTCCTTTGGCAAACACAGTTTTCACATAAATTGGCAGGTCTCCATGTGGACTGCCATGCCCTCCAACGATGGAAAATCCCAGACCATCTGGCCCACGCTCTAGAGATATGGTCTTCACTTGCTGCTGCCTGAAAAATGTAATAGGACATCTCTGATCAGCTTGAATGTAATAGATATTGTTTTGATCCAAAATTCTATCAACACTACGTAATACACCACCTTAACCTTATACGTTAAAACTGATACTGCTGTACTTGTGTAATTTAATATCTGGTCACTCACCCAGATATTTCCTGTGGCATATCTTCCTCTGGCTCTGGCTGGTTGCTAGGCAGTTCATACACTTTGCTGTGCCCATTCACTTCTAATACAACATCCTCACCTTTTGAAAAGGAGAAGAATAAAGTTACCCAGAGTGACAATAGCAAACGCTGATAATACTCACTGCAGTTACTGAAGCAATAAATAATGAAATAAATAAATGATTAGATAAATCAAATTGAAATAAAATAAATCAATAATAATTTCACATAATTGAAGATCTCATATAATATGGTATTTTCTCTAGAAAATGGTAATAAACAAATTCTCCTAACCAAGTTTAAAACTATTTTGAAGAAGCTTCAGACCACATGTACTGCATTCCATACCCTCCCAGTAAACATTGCACAGATGTGAATTTCTTTGATATCAAATGATAAATGTAGAATGAATATAATTTTCAAAAATAAATTTTAGTCTTTTGACCATAAACATAAATTGATTTACATTTTGTGTCAATGTGCAATGACATCATATCACTCATATAAAAACCATATGAAACAATTACAGAAAACTGTTGTGGGCCAGAATGGGGCCATATCTGTCTGGCCTAGACGTGAGCAGGATGTGTCTAGCTGAGAATTATAATTGCACTCCCAGTGGTTGTCATACTGGACTTAAATAACCTGCTACAGATGTATGGTTGCATGCATTCCTTGCCTTTTCAATTTGCATACAAATGTATTCATTACATATTTCACATGAGCAGTAGCACAGGTTTTATGCAAAGGGAATAGGGAGCTTTAAACAAATATCCCATGAGCAGCCCCTTTTTTGAGGTTTCAAGTAAAATAAGGATTGTAATAAGTAAAATTTTGATTCTAGATTTAAATTTGCATTAAATATCTTTCAGTCCAAATAGGTTTAACACTTGCTAGTTATATGTTAAATATTAAATGTATTTTCCCTCACCTTGAGTGACAACCAAGGAGATAGTTCCTTGAAATTGTTTCAAAAGCTGGACTGCTTCATGATGAGTCAAACCTTCTGTGGGTTGACCATTTATACTCATGATATGATCACCAACCTAATGTAAAAAGGACAGAAAACTCTTTAATACAAAACTAGCAATTCTATTTTTTTTTTCTGTTAAAATCAGGTATAAAATGATTTTGCTTTAATGAATTACTCACAGATGCTATTCAACAGTTGGAAAAAATATAATGGTGATTAAAAATTTTGAAGATAAAGGAGATTTGACAATATTCAAATGTTCTCTTTTTCTGTACAGTACAGAACCATGACATGTTAAATCAAAGTGGAAATACCTTGAGTTTTCCTGTCTTTTGCGCTGGCCCATTTGGTTGAAGATTAGCTATCAAAACGGGCGTGTCTCCTATTGGACTTCCAATGCCTCCTGCAATGCTGATGCCTAAGGAGCCCTGTTCATCTCTTTCAAGTTCCACTGTACGCATGTTGCTCAAGGTTTGACTACTCTGGCTTGGTGCTGAGAAATAAAATAAGTCATCCGTCAGACATCCGGATTATATAGCTATCATGTTAAATAATCAGATTTTACACAGAAAGACTGATTTCTTAATGCTGCTAAAGATTGGCATGCAAGTCTATGTTTAGACATGTTAAGCTACTTGACTGCACACATTTGTCTTCCAATATAAACTTCTTAAACAGAACGATGCTGGGACAAGAGCCTAATTCAACCAAGTTTTACCTTCTGTTTATACACTTCTGTCTGTACTGGTGAGAATATCTGATAATTTGATTTCACATGTTCATAAGTGAGACAATCTGTTGCCTAGATATATTGCTGACATTTATAAAATTGCTCAATAACTTGATGAGTCTATATTGAGTGCATAGCCTTTACAAATGTATGCTGCTATAACAAAGTTTACACAATCATGATAAAGGAATCGATAGGAGCCTTTGTGAATTCAAATAACAGGCTGAAATTACCATCTTTTCATTGACATTGGTTTTCTTTTGTTTTAAGCTTAAATGTCACAAGCCTTCAGTCTACTTGTTGTTCAGAAATGATCCTTTAAAATCACATTTTAAGGATGGTTTCTAAAATATAAAAGCCTATCTTTCAAACATGGAGGTTGTATAGATTTATATATTTCTAAGTCACTGGGATCTAAAATTTTAAAGATCTGACATAGAATTGCATTTGTAGTTTATAAAATGGTTTTCGTCATGTATCTCATGCTATAATCTAACATAAAATATTCAGTATCTAAATGCTACTGATAATTGAATTTCCTGTGTACGTAGTATAAAGTATCAATTTTTTATCAAGGATAATTCCCTGTGAATTTACTTCTTAACCACACCTGTGGTGCTTCACTTTCCCTTCCATAATTAGATACTTATTACTTAGCAATATACTTTTAATGAAGAAACGGAAAGGTATTAATGCTTGAAGTGTCTTATAAAACTGCAACAAGATATTTTACACTCACTGCTATTAGTCAGTCATTTCACATTCAAAGCCCATATCTATGGAAAACACCAAAATCTTTTTCCATTTAAATTCAGTTTTCTTTTTCCAAGGAGGAAGAAATGAGAAAAATGTGTAGAAATAATATTCATATATTTCAATGTATGGCATGAGAAACCCCTTATATATTTTACCTCATTATTGCAACCCTTCTTTTTCACAAATCCAGAATTGTCAACCTACCATCCTGTCCCACACACCTCCTGACGTCTGCTCTGTGGCCAGTTGTTAATATTACGCACAATATAGCAGAAAAGGCATGGGGTACACGGCACCAGGTGGAGGTTAAACTTACAACTCTTGTATTGATGGCATTATAACATTTTGAAAGTCTGCATGAATAAATGCATGCCATCTGTTTATTTACCTTGACCCGTTGATTTTTTTTTTTTTCATTTGAATTTTTTTTTGTTTTTCATTTGAAAGTATGATTGCTTTTACAAGAGCCTCACAGAAGTCATCATGTACTGATGTATATATATTGTTTTGGGGTCCACTTTCTCTTAACATCATGCAGACTTTCATAGTTAACCCATAAACTTTACTCAGGGAGGGCAAATTTCACAGAAAATTACTTCGTAGGTCTTCCAGCTATTCATCAGAGAAAATGAAAATATGGATAATATATCTGTGCACCATTTTGACTACCATTACACCCCAGGGTAGGTATATGTATGTGTGCCTCTGATACTCTCAAATGTCAAAAGACAACCACATCAAAACTGAAGGGTTTATAGAAAAGTAAGTGCCAGTAATTTTAACTTCCATACACAGTTTAGTAAGAAAGCATCAAAATGTTGAAAGATGAAGAAATAGTTCATAGTATAACCAAAGCAAGACTATGGCAGATTGAATGGGTCAAAATAAAGCACTACATCAACAAGAAAAAAAATATTAAGAAAAGGTGTTTTAGAGCACATTAATAAAAGTGTGACTGAATTGTGTTAGTAACTGGAAGAATTGGCAGTTTCTGAAATGCAAAATAATCCATAAGTAAATAAGAAATTAAAATTTAGAGTAGGATAACACATTTTAAGCAGAAAAAAGGGCTGTATAAATTAGTGAAAATAAAGAAAACTAAAACAAAATGAAAGGAGGAAAAAATACTGTCTTTCATGAATAAGTGTCCTTTTATCACACACATGTTGGCTAAGGTGAATTCTTTACAAATAAAATAGATCTACTTAGCCTGGCTCAGCCTCAGTACAGGTAAGGCTGCATATAAGAAAAATACTTATATGACAACTCATTTCACCTTTTGAGTGCTGTGATTTTGCTTTGCTGCTTGTACTACATGAAACTTTTTTTCTTCAAATTCACTTACTTCTGGAGTGCCGTGATTTCCCTTTGCTGCTTGCAGATGAATTAGATTTTTTTAGTGATTTATCCATTACACTAGAGCTGCGTCTTGAAGAAGCTCGCGAACCTATTGTTGATCCAGCTCTTGACCCAGTTTTTAATCGACCAATCGTGAGTGTTACTTTGCCCATAATTGTCTGAAAAAAATTACAGAAACATACTCATTATCAAGTCTTTATCATTTAACCGATTTTCAGCATGTTACTCACATCCAGTCACCTGCTTAATCTTCAGTTTAAAGAAAAGTTTTGAAAAAAATTCAGAATAATGAAGGTGTAAATGTATCCCTTACCTTGAGTACAGTTGCTGCATGGTCTTGGGTTGCATTTCTCATATTATCATCATTTACAGAAAGGATCTGGTCTCCCTGCATAAGACGGCCATCTGCCTCAGCAACTCCACCTTTAACCTTGTGAACAGAAAAAATAAACTGTAGGTACCCACTTTGAATGAAAATGCACATGGTTCTCAGTGACACTTTTAAACTGTCCACACAAATTAATTTTTCATATCTCAAATTCTGGTGTGGAAAACCACAGTTCCAATTTTACAAAATGATGTCACGAAGTTTTTTTTTCTTTTGCAATGACCATAAGGAGCATGTGTAGATCTCATGCTTACAATGTCTGATATGTACACTCCAACATCATTCCTTTTCCCAACTATGCTTATCCCAAGTCCTCTGCCTGGTTTCTTCAACAGATCTATTGTAAAGATATCATAGAGATCTTCCTCTCTGAGCTGAGCATCGTCTCTGTACACCAACATGGTCACTACAGGCGGTGTTTGTCTCAAAACTTGAATAGCATTGTCGTGAGTGGCATCACGTAAATCTTGCCCACAAACCTGCAACAAACAATGAGACGCTAGAATGGCATCTTTTGACCATTACTTGGGATGTTCAGAGTATAGAAGGTCGAGTTGGAACAAGTAACTTAATTTAGCCCTTCATACAAGAGCAAAAAATGTGTTTCATTAAAATGTCCAAAGAGATTAATTTTATCACTGATGTGTGATAATATTATTAGTACATTGTACAACTGCATTGAAGAGCTCCTACCTCTAGTATCTGGTCTCCTGCAGTCAGTCTTCCATCTCTAGCTGCAGCTCCATCTTCATAGACTTCATGGATGATGATGGCACCCTAAAACGGTGGTTCATTACAATTTGTAGATTATTGCATGTAGTTAAGACTTGTTTTCAAGTGTATTACATTGTGATAAATAATGCCTCTATGCCCTGTTTGCCATAAAACATTTTGTATAAGTGGAAATATATTTCATTTTTAAATGATGAAACATGTTGGCCTGTCAAAGAATGGTACTTCTGTGGGGCTGTTGATTAATTAATATTAGAGACTGGCCAACTGAAATATGTAACAAATGGGATACAATCACTATAATTAATGGCTTTAATTTCCCAAGAATTCCATTTGCACTAATTCATGTGATATGTTTAAGCAGCCTCCATCAGTTCTAACTATATACATATACTCTGTGTATGATCAAGATGATGTTAGCATAGCAAAACAACTACCTGATTTTGTTCCCAGTATGATGAATTCACTTATAGGCTGTACCAACAAAATTATTGAAATCAAAATTTATTCTAATGCCTGAACTGAAAACATCTGAATTTTTGAGAAAAATTTGAATAGACATTTTACATTAACAGAATTAAAGCCTTCTGGGAATACAGCTTCTGCAATAAAAAAGTTTATTCTTAGAAAACTATCCATTGTACCCTATGTATTATTGATTGCATACTTCAAAGTCAAAAATGAAAAACAAAGCAAACTGCTGACTCCAGCTTGGGTGCCATTATTTCCTCACTTAGTGTGGTTTATTATTTAGTTGCAGTGCCATTTGACTAATACAAATGGTACAAGGCTGGTATTCCGCATTACTTCATGTATAAAATGCATGTAATTGTTTTCCTACATATCATTTTGGAAAAAAAAAATTATTGCTTTGTCGACAAACGTTTGCTCCTTTTTCTAGAATGTCTATCTGAATAAGCTGACACAGATGACAAACTGTATTACTTCATGTATAAAATGAATTATTTTGTTGTCCTTTGAATGATAAAGTCTTAATTTTGGGAAAAAAGTATTTACTTTGCCTTAGAACAAATACCACATTTTCTGGAATGACAACTTGAAGAACTGGTCCATACTTCAATATACTCACAATCATTGTATCAGATCCCCCTACGATGCTGAGTCCTAGTCCAGACTTCCCTTTCTCAATCTCAAGCCAGGTCTCCTGACCAATCTTGATAGGACACGTTTGAGGGTCCACCATTTCTGGCCCTGTGTCCGAGGTGGTGGTATCCTGAGATTGCTCTGGAAGTGAAACATAAAAACGACTCATTTCGTGTGTCAATATTGTCCAGTTCTTGCATTATTTGTGCTAGCTGTCAATTTAGAATGCTTATTTCTAGCAGAACTTTTTCATATTGCTCTAGTCTGGTGCTGATATCTTATCTACAAAATTACCATTCTGACTGGCAGTACATATTGATATGGTAGTTCGTGTAATATGCGGATATTTATAATCCTATTAAACTGCAATGCATGGATGAGTGACAAAGTTGTGGTCAATGCCACTAACAGATCCAGCTTTGTTTTCATTCCATCAAAAAAAATTACATAAAATATAATGCAATTAAGTGCATTTTAATAATTTAATTTTGTAGGTTACACAAGTCTTCTTTACCTCTTTGTAAGGCCAGTGATCTAGTGTTTGTTTTGCAGTTGGAGATAAATATGATTTAGCACTTATTAGTTTAGATTTTATCTGACAGGTTATTTTTGAATGAAGTTATCACAAAATCAAACTTAAATAAGATAAAAAAGTAAATGTGCATTAGTTTGATAAAATGAAAGTGTATAAAGGTTATGGTGCATGACAGGGACATGAACACTTTTTTAAAATGTCTTCCTCATACACTGTACATCCTGATTTACTTGCCTCTTTCCAAGGGAGAGGCGGGTTCAACATTAATTTGTCTCACATCTAGTCCAGCCTGCGAGTCTTCATCTACTGGAATGTTAGATGCTGTATCGGATGAGGAATCGCCTGGTTTACTCACTGTCAGTTTCACTGTACCTTGGGCACTGCGCAGAAATTCAATAGCCTAAAAAGATATAAGGGATTTTATTATTATTCTTCTTTAAAGGTATAAAGATATTTTTTTACATTTTACCACTTTTCTTTTGACACAGTCTGCTGTTCTTATCAAACACTGAATGTTATGCAAATAACAAGAATAATATTATTACAGGAATATGCAATAACTGACTTAAATAATACCTGTACAAACTAGTGTGCTTACCCAGGGTAAAGCCAGCAACCTGACTACATTTTATTGATACAATAAAATTTGATTAAGCTTATATACTGTATCATAGAAACAAGACTTAATGCACGAATAACCCACATAAATCTATGGAAATATTAATTTCCACTAAGACTAAAGCCTGGGAAATATATGCAATATTAATGTGCAAACATTAAAGCAAACATCCAGCCAATTTTCACCTAAATTGATCAATCATTTTCCCCAAGTGAGCAATATCTGTAATGGATAACTACTTTGGGAATTTCTATGGCTTTTATATTTTTAGACTTTACTGTCGTCACTCAGCCAAATTTAGGAAAGCTTTCCATACAACATTAAAGCAATTGCTGCTATTCAAATAAATGAGACAGCTATTCATCCATAAATGATAACACACACCTGTGACCATTTATCTGTCAACATCTTGTTTCATAATAATAATAATTCCAACAGGAATTTTATTTCATTTGAAAATCCAAATATTTCATAATCTTGCCCAATTTCGTTACTTATTTGACTAAAATTGTTTTGATAATTGCCTATCATAAACATAAGTACAATCAAGAACATATTATTCTTGTATCATCCAAGCGTACGTACTTTGTCATAAGACACAGCCACCAGAGACTGGTCATCTACAGCTAAGATTTGGTCACCGACGGCCAAATGTCCTTCATGTTCAGCAGGACTCCCTGGGGTGATGGACTTGATATATATCCCAGGCTGACCCTCCACACTGCCCTCCATGATAGCAAGACCAAGGCGTGCAGGACCCTTAAACCAAATAACCCAGGTTCATTTCTTGTAACTATACAATTTAAACATTTAAAACATGTGCTATTGAGAAAAAATATGAGAAAAAATAAACTAGAATAGAATTTTAACTTGTGTGCCATTATTTCTGCTTTAGTTGCACAACTGAAAGACTGAGAGAAAAAAAAATCTCAAAATCTTCTGGCAGAAAGGCATTGTGTACAAGTGTACTTTTACAATGTGGTAGTCTGTTATAGTGCGGAAGCCCCATCTGATATTTTCTGCCTGTTCCATTCATTATACTATGATAAAGTAAATGTTATTGCTTTCAAATAATGAAATTGGGGACAATTTTCTCTTAGGATCAATTCTGAACCAGATTAAAGTTGAATACCTCACTTTTCAATACCAGCTGTGATGGTAACATAAAAATTCCTATGACTTCAAATCAGTAAAGCTGTGACCTCACCTTATCAATTGTGACAGTTGTGACATCTGGAAATGTGGAGAAGTCTTGCTCAGTTCTGGATGATATTGTGTCTTCACGGTTTGAGGAGGGAGAGGAGGGACTGGTAGAGTTGATGCTAACATCCTACAATAATCAGAACTATTTAAATGGACAAATTACATGTAATTATTCAATTTGTTGGTATACTTATACTTGGGAGGGGGGAGGCATCACAACAATGACCATAACACTTTTACAACTATTATTCTGGTGTTTTTAAACTTCAACAAGTTATTTCCTTTCCTTAATGGACATAAAAAGGTGATGAAAAGTGGGTTTCACCTCTGTGGAAACTGCATTGTCTAATGGCTTGACAGCAACATGTTCTAGGAAGTCTTCTCTCCTGAAATACAAAATGAAAAACTCAAATGAGTCATGGTACTCTAGATCTGTAACTGCACTCAAACTTGTTTTATGTTTCCAGCAGCTTTCCTAGTACATGTAGACACAAATTTTCTTTTTAGTTGCCTTTAATCTTTTTACACATTTCACGTGTCTCATTACGACAAAATCCAATGATGACTCAATGCCAACAGCTGAATATTATCAAATAAACCTCCAATCTATTTTCTGTCTCATCAGGAGGAAAATGCAACTTCAGAGCCTAGTATCATGGACAGATAAGAGAAAAGTAGAAGCCTCAATACTCTGATTTAATTTCAAGCTAATCTGTCAACCCCCACAGTGATGGTAAGCAATCCTGTCACAAGTCCACTGGAGCGTCTGCTTGCTTGTATCACCCAGGTGATGCTTCAACACAAGAATTCAAGGCAGCAGGATGCCATAATGTGCATTCTTGTGTAAAGTGTCCTTTTTACATAAAAATCCCCTTTTCTTGGTCATTTTTCACTTTTCAGAAAAACGATTACCATTAATTGCACTTCAGTGAATATCTGTATTCAGTAGATACAAAAATTAACACTGTAGGAGGTGCTGGTTGGCCCAAGGTATGGTTTGGGAAGAAAACAGCAATCTAAATGAATAAAAACGTAATCAATAAGCATAATCTCTGCTTAAATAAGTGTGAGGCTGATAACTATCCCAGGTGATATTTGACCCTGGTTACAGAGAAACTGTTTAAAACTACGCACCAATGCTTTTTACACTGCATACATATTGGAGTGAATTTTCAGAAATCTCCATTTCAGACAGTAAGGTAGTATTAAGAAACACCTACACCTCAAACTATAAAACTGCACAGTCTCCCTGGATTAAAACATTTCCTCTTCACTCCTACTTTCACATGCTGAGCAGTGGTAATCAAATTTTGTTCCAAGATTCACTGTGAAATTACTCAGAGATTCTGTATATAAATGAGGGAACATAAGACTTCAAATCACACAATGAACGGGGATTCATATCAGAGGGGAATAATCTGTATTCAAATAAATGAAGATCAATGTCTAATTTTAAATACTATCGGAACACTTGGATTGTTTTACCAACAGATGTTCTGAATTATATAAGATATGGCATACTGGTGCATACAGCAGTAAAAAAAAAAGTGTGCATGCATGCACATGCGTGCATTTATGTGTTTGTGTGTGTGAGAGAGAATAAAATCCTCTTTCAAAAAAATACAATTCTAAAAATCATTTTAAATATTAAGTTTTATCGGAAAGACAATCATCTTATTCATAAAATGCCAAGTTTTGTCCAATTTTGCCAATTTTATGGTCAAACTTAGAACACTCTACAATTCCATCAGCAGTACTTTGTCTCCTCAATGCCTGGGTTTTGCCTCTAATTAAATACAACCCAGTACAATCAAGGGTTTCATCAGATGGAGCACTTCCATACTTCAAAATGAAATTGCCATTGCAATATATTATGCCATCCATAGGGAATCTGTAATCAAGGATCTGGCAAAAAAAATTCCTAGGGCATGTGAATGTTAATGCTTCAGCTATTCAATAACACAGTAAAAATTAAGTGCCAAACTCTGCAACGCTTTTGTCTTATCATAAGCCAAAGAAAATATCTCAACAATCAAAAAACCGACATTCCGGCACTGATCCCATTACTGGTCACGGCCAGAGCGCATTATTGTTCTTAGTGTTTAACAACTTCTAAGTATTCCAACAATTGTCATTACTGTGTTTATGCCACAACAAACTACCACGGGCTATAGTTAAGTACTTTCAGAGACACTTTTAACTAGCTAAAAGCACCATCAATCACAACTGCTGCCTCCCTAGTACTGATTAATCAATACTGATGGCAACCACCAGTGATGAACACCACTGCACCGGCCTGTGGAAAGTACTGGGAATTATAATAATAACAGAAGAAGCTGAAATTTTTTTCCCTGTCAGATATGTCATTTCTAAACTGTGAGATATGGCAGGCTGACACTTATTATGGCTGCATGGGGAGTTGCTTACAGTCTTGTTTTTAAAAAGCTTGATTAACACCATCATTTGTCTTTTATATTTACCCAGAAAAACACATTCACGTCAGATGTCATCATGTGTAGATACATAAGTTGCTCACAATGCACTGACAGACATGTTATTATTGATAAAAACTGTTGCTAGAACCCCGGTGAGTACTATACCAGTAAATATTACCAACTGTGTACATTAGAATAAAAAAAATCCTAATATTTCTGGTCCAGGAAAAAGTATAGGGTATCTTTAAAATGACTTGGTTTTCAAACATTTAAGGCATCATTCAACTAGACCTACGATTTTTTTTTTTAACCAAAAACAAAATGCAGCCATTCACCATTCCATCAAGGGTTTGCCAACTTACTGGTTTGAAAAAAAAAATGACTATTTGAAACATAACACAGATTAGCAACATAATTACACTATGAACAAATTATAACTGGACAAATAATACAGAAGGTCTCTCTTTCCCTCTTGAGACTAGCTATCTTTATGGCTGTCAGCACTCGGTGCTTTGTAGTTGATGAAACATAAAAAATCCAGGGATAGGAAGGCAGGGGTGAAGTATCACAAGTACTCGCTGCAGAAAGACTACAGTAATCTAGGGTGATATTCTCCCATGCAGTCTCACAGCAGCCATAAGCAGTTTAAAAAGAATCTCAAAAAAAAAAAAAAACCTGACACTTCAAGTCTGCCTCAGTTGTTTATCTGTTCAAATCTATAAGGAGTCAACTATCAGTACGGATGTCTGTCTAATTCATTACCAGATAAGATAAAAAGTACATTTGGCTGTAAATGAGCATACCTTAATAATACAAGCTTGATGATGGGATGAGTGATGCCCTTTATGATGGCTGAGGCATTCAAATGGCTCCTTCCATACAGTACTTGGCCATTGACCTAAGAAAAGATAAAATTATATCTAGTTGCTAAAATATTTCTTGACAAACCTTTTGAGCTTCAAAATAAAATTTCATTTTCTACCAATTGAAAACAAACTGCCATATACTACATACTTCAACTTTTAGAAATATCTGCATACCAGTAGATTAAAAAAATATTTATCTTGTTATGTGAAACTCGTTCTTCTGCATTCTACACTCAACCAAAAAGTTCGGAAACCAGAAATTGTTTTTTAACAATTAAAAAACTATGTAATTTAGTGGAAAATCTTCAGTGTATATAAAAAAGTAATGAATGGTGGGTCCATTATCCATCAGTATTTGGTTAAAATATTTACCTTAGCTCATATGGTTATTTTATAATTATTGAAAATAACAATGTTTTCAAGATTTTTTGGTTGAGTGTATAATACAAAGAGTCGAAAAAATTTAGCTATGGGATTTGCTCTTACTCTATATGCGAGTGATATAAATGACAGGCTTAGTCAATACTGCTGGCAGATTTTTTAATCTCATTGACAATGGCTCATACTAGAACAACTTATTGCAGGAGGCTGCTTCTAAAATCAATTCAGTGTACTATTAGTCTTTGTGCTCGTATTTGTTTGCTGACAGATGTTGCTGCACACATTAAAGCTCATTTCAGGACTATTGTAGCAAAAAGGATTACTTTGTAAATTGTTTTATATTGCAACTTACAGTATTCTTAAATTGCGCTACAGACATGGGCATCGGAGATGTGAAAATGTTTCACTTTACCTCCAGGAGTTCATCTCCAATTCGGATTCTGCCATCTTGGAAGGCTAGCCCATCTTTATCAATGCCCACAACAAATACGCTCATTGTGCTTCTATCCTTGTTTCCTGCCAGACTCAGCCCGAGCCCATTGCTGCCACGCTCTATCTCCAGCAGGTGGAGAACTCCATTTAGGTCACCATATTTACGCTGGAGCTTTTCTGAAAATAATGAAATTGTTTGATAACATGTTGCTGAAATGTTAAAGTACAGTCTGTCATACCTGTAAGTAACTCAAAGCAAGATATACCGACTACATTTAACAATATTGTCACTGTGAATGTGAAAAATAAACATATTTGTAAACAAGGAAACAACAATGATCATTGCAATTTTACTTGAAGTAACATTAAGTAATATATTACCTAGCACAGAATAATAAAACAAAGAATACCAAACTGTAAGTAGGTTTTCACCCACCGAATATAAAAACTGAGAAAGTTCAAGGGAGCAGAGAAATAATCAAGAAATTAGTGTATAAAAAAACTTTCATTAACTATTAAGTGTATTTGATGAAAATTTTCAAAATTAAACAATTTAACTGAATAAAAGTACAAAAAATAAATACCTATGAATGTACAATGTACTTAATGATAGCATTAGATAGCTTTTATCAGAGATCATCTCTTCTAAAAAAAAAAGGAATGGTTGCCAGCATCCAGGGGCTTAATCACAAAAAATGACTTAAGTTATAAACATTTATTCTGATATAACTTGCAATCCACTAACATAAAGACAGCAATAATATTTCTACCCTGTTGCTTTATCACATGTGCATATTGTTTTTAAACGAATAATTGACAAAAAATAAAATAAATAAAATAAAATAAAAAATAAGACAAAAACGTCAGGAATGGAATAACACCAGTTACAGGGTTGCAATACAGAGCTACTGAAACATAACTGGCATGTTTGATTCTTCTTTTTTCTAACTTCCTCCCATGAACAGAATACACATGCTCCCCTGCAAACCTGCTCCTAAATGAAGAGTTGAAGGCCAACTTCAGATCTGCATATCCACAAAAAATCTGACAAAGAGTACCTACCCCAGTAAGTCTCATAAAGATGCAAATTCATATTTCCAGTATCTGTCTGCCAGAGTGTGGGTTTTCAATACAATTTCTATTACATTGCTGGAAAGCTTTGATTTTCCCCAAAGGAAGCCCAGCAGGTATTGAATGCCAAAAGTTGCTGTTTTGGATTCAATCAGCCAGAGTCCAGCTCCTCTGTGGAACCAAGGTATGAGAGAAACTTTGGTCTAATATCCTGGTCTGTCCCATTGTAAAACTTAACTGCCAAGTCATAACTGATCCTGGGTTACATATGTGTCAATATGCGGTAGAAATGCCTCGCGTAAGGCGGGTTCCATCAACAGTTCAGGCTATGGCCCCCTATTATAAAAATCAATGCCACATCTGAATACCACATCTGCATAAAGAAACATTGGGATCTCCTTCACTTCACTCCACAGGCGCGGTCTCCAAAACTACTCTAAAAGCTCAACATCAACAGCTATTAAGGGGCTGTTTTCACCTAAATTGAAACCCTCTGCGAGAAAAGATTGATTTTCTACCTTTCAAGCTGTAAGCAATTTTCTCTCTGCAAAAGTGATTGACCAATGAGGAATTACAACACAGCATCAACTCTTCTCTAAAAAAAAAAAAAAAAAAAAATCTTGCAAGCACATAATTCAATTTTACATAACCCACTTAATGGTTCCTTCATAATCAATGCCCCATTGTGTGCAAGTTGATACCAGAAGGATAAAATACTTTCTCTGCAGAGGAACTCAAAGCACAACTTAAAATTTGCCTGCATGTACCCAAACTTCATGTATATAAAATCTGCTGCATACTTCACCAGCTGCACTGCAATACATAGCATACCAAAGCATACCACTGCTAGTATAGGTAATTATTAAGCTATGTAACTGATGCAGCAGTTCTACCCGCAAAACCCTAACTATTTCCCTATCACAGCACTGATCAAGTGTGGTATCACTACACTCAATCCAATGTGCTCTGTACACCAAATGTGTTCCTAGGACTTGAATCTGCTCTTTCAAATTTAATCAGCTGTTTATCCTTCAACTGATTGCTCTTCAATCTTCCAACTGCTGAGCCCTAGACATGCTGTCCCATATGACATGAGAAAATAGAACTAATTCCTTGCTATTATATCAGGACAGATCAATCTGGAAGAAGCCAACCTCTTCCATTTTTTTTTTCTAATGTGAATTAGCAATTATTCACAAAAAAGGTTTCAGCTTTTCACAATACAGATCTTCCTTCTCCCCCCCCCTCTCTTATAAACACACATTTAATCTTGAGTTTGCTTTTAAAAATTTAAAGGAAATAATGGACTGCCATTTTAAACCAGTGTAGGTTTCTTCTTACCCCAGTGTATGCTCTCAGTAAATTTTTTTATTCAAATTTGAGATAAAAATGGCACAAAAAAGGAAATATCAATAATATTAAAAAAACTTTGACATCATTCCTAGTATTGAAACAAACTAAATGTGAAAGTGCTCTAGGGCAAATTATAGTTCTATTGCCTTTCTATCTAAGGCAATTACTTTTTGGTCACCCTGTAGTGCAGTTGCTGGCAATTTCAGATAACAGACAAAGACTAGATGGAAAGATGTAATTGCTCATATTTGAAATAACACAACTCCTTGGCAAACTCTACAAAATTTTACAGTGCCAAGGTCAGATTTGAAAATCTCCACATAACTTCTTATTCAACTTCTGTAATGTCTATACCCTTTTCCTTTGAATAATGAGATGTTACAAATTCAATTCCAAATGGAACGAACTGCAAATATGCAATAAGACTCTTTTGAAATAATGGAACTCCTTCAGAAAATAAAAGAGAGACACTCCCTTCAGTATTGGGTTTGGACTGCTCTAAAATGCAAAGAACAATGGCCCCCAAAAGTTATTTTCAATTTTTTTTTTTTTTTAATTTAATGACTGCCACCCACTAACCCCACACTTACATGACTGTTTTGTTTGGGAAACCTGCAGAAACAAATTTTACATTCAAATTTGAAATTTCAAATTTTATTGCAATCCTCAAAAATAATTCATAAGTCAAACCCAAATCCAAGGTCAGATTTGAAACATCCATGGTTTGGTTTTCTATTTCTGATCTTCCCGTATTTCAATCCTTTAATTTGGGAGATATTTTTTACATTGAATAAGGGTGCATTGCAACACACATCACACCTATGCAAATGCAAAGGCTGATAAAAAAAATCTAGCAGGTTCAAGGAAAGCATATGTGACCTAATCCCTTTAGATGAAGACACAAGCCTCAGTAATCTATGGTGAGATGCAGTAATGAGGACTTGTATCTGATGACAGGCACCAGAAGTGCAAGTTTGGAGGTAAAACCAAGGTTACACCCAGTGCTCAAGCTGATGGCAAAATAAGAATCATAAATGCCACTTAGGGCCCTTTTTTTCATGTTACAGTAAACTAAAGAGATGCAGTTTTTCACCTTGAAATAAAAATCAATATATGTAGGGCATCCCAAACTTCAATATTTAATAATTTTGGAAAGAATGAGGAAATGTGTGCTAATCTGAGCTGTATATCCTAAAACCAATCATTTTCTGCAGACTCCAAATAAAAAAAAAGATGCCAATCAATTTTGAAATAGTTGTATTTTTGTTAAACTCTTTTACTGATGTCCTTGGTCCATATATTTTCCATATTGGTTTTACTGCATACCATTAACAGTACCAATTCCCATTGATCCAGCATCACACCGCAAATGCCAAAATCAAAGGTCAATGCTATCTAAACTAACAGGCAAAAACTTGTTGTTGTTTGTATTTAGTATCAGCCACAAGTAATCAATACATCTAGGAGAGAGAGAGAGAGAGAGAGAGAGAGAGAGAGAGAGAGAGAGAGAGAGAGAGAGAGAGACTGACTTCACTGACATATGTTTCAGTACATCAGCTTGAATTTTACCATGTCCTCCCTTTCACTGCTTATGTTTCTTTTGCTTACTTAACCTTCTACTACATCTTACTAAATTACTCTTAATATGCCATTAGTTTAGTGAAACCCAAACATTTGGGGTGTCTTGTATAGACTTTGGAAAAACAATTTGCAGGCAACCCTTGAGCAAGAATTGGATCAAGGCTCCATCATGATTTACCTGTACCCATGCCTAAACTATTCCCAATACAAAGAATTGTGAGTCACAGTGACAGACTAAATACAAATAGTGTAATGCAAGGTTGCAGCACGTAGGTGGATAAAAGCAATTTGTCCAAAATCAGTGTTTTTACTATCAATTATATATATATCGATTCAGAATGATATCTGTAACATACATGACATAATGCAGGTACAGTGTAGCTTCAATGTGAATTTTTCATAAATATGAAAGGATATCGCACACTTATATTTGCTTGCATAATAACCATGTTAACTACCATGGATATATTTAAAGCTAGCTTTGAACAAGGCAGCAGAGCTGCCAAATGTACAGACCAAAATCAGTTACAGAACAGCTTAAATACCAATAAGTATTAGGTGAAACATTGATAAATATCCCTTAAACTTAACGAAATAAATGGCAAAAAGAATAATACATTATAGTTGTTTTTTTATCTTATCATGTATGTGAGTTACTGAGACTAGCTGATATTCCAGGTTGACCCTTCAGATGTTATGAATCACTGTAGTAAGTTTGAGAGAAATAATTTACTTGGTTTATACATTAACTGCATTGTGAAGGATATAATATTGAAAACAAGGATGACAAAAATTTTGAAACAACAGGATGATTTAGCAAGAATGGTCTGATAAAGATGATATTCAAAAGCCTGTATTTTACAAATCATTCCAGTAAGTTTGAAGACATCCATCCATTGCCTTAACAGTAAAAAGCACAAGAGGCAGGTGCAGGTGATGGCTCCATTTACAAACATAGTGTCTCCATGACATATTGTGTCTGTACATAAAAATACCTACAATACCTTGAGAATTAGCTTTCCAGATAACATACACAAAGCTGTGCCAAATGACAGTTCCTGATACCTATTGAATTTTCTATACTTTACTTCTTACAAACATTATCTGACAGTAACCAAAGCAGTAAAATTTATTTAGATTATTACATTTTTGATTAAAAATTAACAGTAGACATGACAATGCAGTTGATGTGGTAATCTACCTATCTATGGGAAAGGTGCCTAGAATCACAGATTTAATTTTGATTGTCTCTTTTCCCCCTCCTGTTGCTTAATTCAATAATGGTGCTTTTTAGCAGATAATCATCAAAACATATTCAATATTTCATTTCCAGTAAGATAACTGGGTTAAGCAATTCCAAAGCTAATCAATGGAAGTCTACCAAATCTAATGTACCACAATTAGGGTAATAAAATGCCAAGCTTATTTGATAAGTTTCCTATATTTTGAATAATAATGCTTACTGTAGGTATATCCAAATTCATCATCAGATTCACTGTCTGAGGAATCATGTGGTTGGTCAGTGGTACTCTCACCAGGTGTCTCTATTGTCAACACAGACTCATCCAATGGCGACATATGAGGTTCTTGTTGTAAGTGGAGTTTCCGCACAGCATGAGGCAAGGGGCTACGATCAGGTATCACAGTAGAGTTCTGGGAGCTAGACTCCCTATCACTAGGCTGAAAACAAATAAATTCCGAATAATTTGAGGATCATAGAAGTGTTTTCTATGTATTACCATTTATGGGAAGCTTTGATTTTTACATTTTAGAAGAATCTTTCTTAGGAAGCTATTAACTTTACCCTTACCTTATAAAAAAGATGTCACTTGGATATAATTTTAATTGAACATGCACTTTTATTTTTTACTATTTATTTCTACTAAGCTAGATATATTGCTTATCAGTCTATTTATTTTTAAGTGTGGGATGGGATGTTTCCATAGAATTCATGAAGTCTACTTACAGGTGCTTTATCCATGATGCTCTGAATCACAAATTTTACAGGAGAGTTTGCATTCCTTATAGCAGCCACTGCTTGGTCATGAGTTGCATCTTTTAACTCTACTCCATCAACCTGAAGAAAAGTGCCACATTATCAGACCGTGCTTTGAGAAATTTCTATAGAATGTGCAGTCCAACCCCTTGAACTGCCAAGGAATAATCCTAAAAGGCACTTGTTTATATATACAAAACCAATGGTATATGTGGCCCACTTGACAAACAGTCATTCATATAGTTTCAACTGTGCCAGTACAGCAGATTCTATACTCATTAAGTTGATAATGTTTTGTAAATTAAAGTTAAAGTCAAGTCTATTTTTTATACACTGCAATCTACTGTCCCAGTGCATAATCTGGTAGTCTGGAAACATTACCCAGAATATTGCCACCTAACTTAGCACATGCTGTAGACACCATCCTTACCTCAAGTATCCTGTCCCCAGTCTTGAGCTGTCCACTCTTGCCAGCAGGACTTCCCTCCAGGACATGCTTGATGAAGATCCCAGTGATGGTGTGCTCTGGGGACACATGGAACAGGTCCACTTTACCTCCTGAAAGATTCAAAACAATGGACTTATGCTTTGCCTCCTGCACACCTGTAACATTCCACATAATGGGAGCAGCTAGATAAATAGCCCACTACATGTGGATTGCACCTATAGGTTTTTTGAAGGAGAAGTATATTTTTTGCTGGAAATAAAAGTAGTTTAAAATGAACTCCAGTATTATTCAAATATAAAAAGAGAACCATTTTATATAGTGAAGTATTCAGTGAAAATTTGGACAGTATGTCAAGACAATTAATGACAGTTAAGTCATGCTCTACAAATGCAAATGCTACACTACTATTTCAACACACATTTTATCAAACCAAATAATTACCATTTTTCATACATGTTGTAACAGTTTTTTTTTCAAGCACATTCAGAACAGCAGACTAACAGATGGGCAGATCGAATATGGCCTTGAATGCTTGTTGTGTAGTCCCTGCAGGGAAACTATTCAGTGTCTAATCAGGAATCAATCGGCAAGCTTTTTAGTTGGTCGCCATATTTGAACTGTGGATCTATTAGTCCGCTGTTCTAAATGCACTCTGATCTGTATCTTCTGTTTTCCAGACTTACCCACTATACTTATCCCCAAGCTCTGTCCAGGCTGTCTCTCTAAGTACACAGTGCGAGGGGGTCCCCAGGCCTGATTCATTTTCTGTGCCTCATCCTTCCTTAGTGGACTAAGAGGGGGCGTTACCATCAAGTCAGCATCCCGTGTCCTGATCACTGGCTTGGGATCTTTGGTAGGGGAGGACTCGCTGCTGCTGGTAGAAAACTGTGAGCTGCATGGAAAAATCAGAAACAAACCCATCTGCACCAGGTGCTGCATGCATTCAGCAGAGACTGGTTTACTACTCACTACTGGGAGGAACTTGTCACAGACTTGTACATGTAGGGCCAGGAGGAGAGATGGGAAAAGACATTTAAAACAGGGCTGTCTGGGAGTTATAACCCAGAAATTGCCTTTTAATTTCTCTTTATCCAGCAATGTTCCGTACGCCAGACAAATGGTTCATAAAATGCATGCTGTATAATTTATGTTGAGAGAACTTTAGGATTTCTTTCTATGGGAACTTGACATCATCTGGACTAATGATAACATGAACACACTGAGAATAGCTAGTGGTGTAATAGGTAAAACTATGTAACATGATGCAATGTGTTAATTCATAGTAGTACACTGTGCAAGCAGACTTTGTTTCTGCCAGAGAGCCTGAACTGAAAATGTGGAATAATATGAGTAATTTTAGAACGATTGTACATCAGTCATGAACCCTTAGGGATTTTTTTTCAAAAACGTAAATTAGAATATCAATCCAAAAGTGAGTATGTTAAATAGATGGTCTTAATCAAAATACAATCATTTTCTTAGTAAGAGGATTGCAACTATAAACATGCATAATTTTAGAAAAACAGAGTTAATCAATATATACATTATTGGTAAAGGAATGTTTCAGTTTTATCCCTCCCTCCCCCCCTTTTTTGAACATGAATGTCAAGTCTGTGACAAGTTTCTAATAGTTAGTTAACACTACAGACAACATGATGGCATATAATTAAGTTACAGTTATGTATACTTTAATTAATTCAAATGGTTTTACTTATAAAAGTATAGGTACTCACATCATTTACACTAATTCCAAGGAAAATGATAATTAAAGATCAGTTACGAGCACAATCAGGTTAGTTAAAAACAGCAAAAAATCTCTTTAAGTTTCTGTACACAGAACAGTAAAAGCTTCTTCTCTTTCCTCAAATTCCAAGTAAAGAAAAGACTAGTGCATGCATAGAACAAGAACATTACAATATAAAACAAGCATAAGAATAGTTGAGACCACACCCGTTGCACATGTAAACTCAAACTCCTGGAATATCCTTTCAAGAATGCAGGTGCTTGAAATATGAAAGCCACAATCATGGCAAGTCAATTTAATTTTGTACGCCAACTGAACTGGATTGCTTCTCCTGTGGTAGGCTTTCCATCATTGGTCACCCGAGATGGAATTGCATGTATTCAGCAAAGGAGCCGTAGAAGGTTCAGTGTTTATGGAAAAGTGTCATCCTCAGGAGCCATAACCCATGCAGTTTCTTATAATCATTTCCCACCCCCTCAGAATTAAAAAGGAAAAAAATATCGATTGATATAAACCTTAACAAAAGTAGTTTGATACAATTGACGGGATTCATGTAATAAAAAAATACCGTGTAGAAATTATGAAAAGTTTTTCAGAATATATAAATTTGCTTTCTTTCACTGCAAAAAAAAAGCTTAACTCAAAAAACAAAAGTAGTTTGTTTTGCAATCATGTAATTAAAATACATTTATAACCTGTCTGAACACAGTTCATTAATGGACAGAATAATAATGTAATATTTGTCAAGCAGTACATGATGCAACAAAGAAAAACAGATACGTCATAGTCTCAAATTCAAAAAAGATTATTTCTTTTATTTCGGTCTTAGCAATAGTAAAACATGTCAGATAAATATAACTATATACATTGTTAACTCTCAAATACAGATCTTAACATACCCTCTTTTTTTGCAAATATAACTGTAGCACCAATATGTTTAAGTACATTTTAGCACTACTGAATATTACCTTGACCACTTCAGTCATGTTTCCTCTAATAAACCCAGTGCTTTCATCACTATAAACATAATTTCCCCCTCAGAATATGCAGAATATATATCTTTATAAATATGTATAATTTTCCTGAATCATGCCTGGTGCATCTGATGATTGAGTGTTACATATTTAAAACACATAAAAATTATAATGCTTTTCCATCAGGAAAGAATGATTGGCATGATTGTGGAATTCATTGTGGACTTCATCTCTACACAACTTTTATTTTTGTTATACATCACTTTGGAATCACTTTAGGAGATATAAAATACTTCAATAGCACTTGAATCAAGCTAACTATTTCGCTGTGAATTCCATTGACTAACAGCAACAATATTCCATGCCTCACATATAATTATATATATATAAATGGCAAAACAATACATACACAAATAGAGACTTCCAAGCATTAAATAAAAACATGCAGCAAGAACACACATAATAAGCTGGTACTGCATAAAATATGAAAGAAAATATAAAAAATGAAAACACTAAGAAATCAAAATAAATGGAAAATAGCTGTCTTACTTGAAAATTTATATTTTTCTAGGCAAAACATTTACAAATTGATGTCAAATGATATGCTATGAGGTTTGAGGTCAATTTTGACAGCTTCTTGACCACTATCACCAAATGAAAAAAAAAAGTTTCACAAATTTTCAAAGATCTTATTACAAGGTAGCTTGGATTTACAATACCAAGTACAAAACTTGTAGTTCAAAGATGGGGATATAATATAACATGGTGCTCAAAAATATAACAGTGATGAGAGACTGGCTCAATCTGACAATGACGAATTATCTCAATATAGTTACATCATTTTTTTTCACCAATATCCACATAAAAATATCTACAAATCTGCATAAGAGCAGATAATTGAACAACAAGTTCAGACTATCTTCCTGTCAGTGTCAGACTCCAGTCAAATTTACAAACATTCACAAATCTTCAAATCAGTTTTGAGACTAGTAGCACGAGACTGGCCATACATGGAAAAAGGTGAACAGTGCACATTTAGTGGGGGTAGATCTTTCACACTTGTAACATAAACTGGCTTTTTGTGCCTTACCGATAGAATTTAGGAAAAATCCTGGCAGCACAGAAAATGTAATAAATAATAAATGAAGAAATAAAAATCAATATTATATGTAAACAAAAAAATATCTGCTACAAACACATTATGCAGTTGCTAAGCAAAATAAATATACTTGGTAAATAGGCAATAAGATAAAGGCAAAATATTATGAAAGTTATAGCAACAATTTTGCTAATATCATTTTTTTCAATCAATCAAGTAATGATGCCATCTTTTTAAATAGCCATAATACATTTGGAAAAAAATACATATGTAAGATAATAACAGACAAACAGTAAAAGAAACACCCAAGTTCTGCAAGAATCAGAGCTACTTGTAGCTAGTAAATGATACAAAAACTGAAAAAACTAGTAGTATTTTAAAGGAAATAAAAGTAAAAACCTGTTATCATAGATTTGTTTTCCACATTTTACCAACTACCTTACACAACCAATGCTCCCTTCTGAAACCTAGATGTGCAGTGTTGGCCACAAATAAAGTTCCTAAATTCTGTGACATATCATGCACCATGATAATGTACAGCTGTTCTACTATTTCACTACTGGACGTGGGGTGCATGTACTCCATAACCATAGACAGAGTCAAAGTTCAAAAGTAAATATCTCAGTCTCAAACACCCAGATTCAAGTTCACAAATCAAGGTAAAATAAATAAAATCAAAATAAACCAATATTAAGAAGTAATAGAGTTTTGAAATAGTTGTGGTCATCACTGGAATTATACAGAATGATAGTTCTTGTGAATGATTTACCTTGGGGATGTGACTATGGGCATGTCCTCCTGTGTGTTCTGTTCCCTTTCAGCTATCATATAGCAATCTCTGTGAACCGCTGCATCTTGGCCAGGGATATATACGATGCTGGAGAAATAGAAGAATAATAAATGCAAAATCAAGTTTAAAAAATTACTATTTTTATAATGAATATCAAGAGACTTACATGTCTCAAAATCATCAATAATTTCCTTTCAGGCCCATGTGGTTGTAGGTTTAATGTACATCTGTTGAGACATTTCATATTTCCCACAAAAAATAACTTCCAAATCTCTTCAATTCCCTCTGTTGCACTCCTAATTTACCTGGCCTTCATTGCTATTGCTCCCCTGCCCCTAGCACTGCCCTTTTTGTTTCTTAGTCCACAAGCTTCTTTATCATTTCTCACTCTTCTCCCGCATATAAAACCCCCCATTTCACATCACTTGTTAAAATTGACTTGGAACACCCATTCTTACTCATGCCTAATCCTTCCCCTTCTATATTGCAATCACTTCAATTTCCACAGACAACCAGCAAACCAGCATATACCATGCACTTTACCTTTGAAGCTCATCTAACCCTGGCAACATGCCCAGCAATGCTTTTAAGAAAAATATTTTATGCAGGTGTACGTAAATGTGAAATTGATGGTTCAGTTAATATACTAGCAAGTAAAACCATCTTTTCAACGGATTCCCTTTACGAAAAATCAGTCTATGTACCAGAGGTGAATGTTAATATTTATATTTGAAGGACTGCTCTACATGGTGGCACTTCTTGTCTACAGCTGTACAGACCAACATTTATGACATGACATAAATGTCATGACATCTTCAAATTAAATGTGCTACATCCAAAGCTTGAAACTGCATAAAGCAAAGAAGAGTTCCATCACAAATAATCTGTGCTATTCACAAGCATGACTTTATCTTCAATTTCTTGTTGTGCAGAGCCTACTATTGATTAATTGGTCTCTACACACCACCAAACAAGCTAAATCTCAATCCTTTGGGTGTTGCAAAGAAATGAAATAGGCCAGGACCCCGCTCAAAATGAAATAAGATTCTGTGCAAACCAATATTGATCTAACTCTAGGACATGGTGGAACGGGGTTACAAAAGCAACAGAATAATATCATTCCCAGGTATAAGTTGGTCAAAATAAATAAATAAAATTGATAAAAGCAATTACTTTACTAATATTCTATGAAACACACTAAAAATAGGATTCCATAAATCATAAGCATGCAATGATTTGATAGATCAGAACATTTTTAGCAGAAGAATCATTGAAAATATATTTATTCTCTTAAACTTGCACAACACTTGTCCCCCATGGGTAATTTTGACATTTGTATTAATCTAATTAAAGAAAATGTCCTTATTTTATGACACTAAGATTGATCAGAATTCCATGAGGTTTACCACACCTGATTTCTGTCCCCACAAGGGCAGCCCTGCGGAGAATAGCCCTGGCTTGAGCATTAGTAATATTGCGCATGTTTTCATTGTTGACCATAACAATGTAGTCTCCCACTTGAATGCTACCCTCACGGGCTACCGCTCCACTTCTGCTGATGCTCTTCACTATGCAGCCATTCACTCCTTTATCTATTGCATCCACATTCAAACCTGGAAAAACCGGGGCATTTTTTTAGGATCAAATACATACTGGATTTATATTGTTACATGTTTATTTTACAAGTTTACATCCAAGTTTTTTATTTTTTACATGAATGTTAGAAGGCATGCTTTAAAATGATTATGAAAATGTTGCTGTTCATAAAGCAAGCAATAATGTTTTTCAAGGCAAGGCAAACAGAAACCAAAAAGAATTAAAAATTTAGCATGCAAATGGCATTCCCGGTTCTTCTCATAGCTTTTAATTTACAGTTCTACTTGAAACCATGTCTTAAAAAGTTTAGCACCAACATACGACTGACTATAAATCAATAACAAAATTTCATGTTTTCCTTTTTTCAATGTTGCAACTATTGTATCTACACTACCTACTTAAAACTATGCAAAAGGAAATGATAGAAATAAATACATTGTGGATAAACTTACTGATAAACTACAGAGTGATATGAAAGAAAATCCAAGACCATACAGTGCACATGTGCGTGCACAAGCATACGCCCACCCACACCTGCAGTCACGCACAGAGAAAAATTATCTAGTAGTCAACCATTAAAACATGTATGGTAAGTTTCTTATGGAGCTAACATTTTTTTTACAAAAACATCAAAGGATATGTATGATGACCCCAACAGTATCTATACTAACAACAAAAAAAGTTTAATTTGTAGTGACATTTTATGTAATGCTAGTAATGAAAATCACTTTTCATGTTCCTTACATGCAGCCATTCATAATCACTTTCATACCTGCCTCAAATACACCTTTTCTACAACTCCTAATAAAATTAGGAAATATTTCAGTCACATGCAATTATTTACAAATGTAACAAAATATCATGGTGGATTAGAGGTTATCATTTTCTTTTTTTCCCCCTAAAACACATGCAGGTGAGGAATAATCAAAATTGCGGTTATTTAATATATCACATAATTTGATGTTATGGGATGCAAATGGGACAACATAAACAAAGAGGTCAACACCAACACAAGGGTGTTACCATGTGTGGAATGCGACCAATAACACCTAACACAGCGATGAACTCTGCCTACGAGATGCATCCAGCTATCACTTGCTTCAACTTCAAGTCCTGTATGTATATGTACCAGGAAAGTGATTAGTAAGTCAAAAGACATTTAGGTTTTTCCTGTTCAAGTAAATGCATGCACAGTCCTGGTATATCAAGGATAAAAACTGTGGTTTCACTTGTATGTACAACGATGAAATGGAAATCAGAACTGCTAGAAAACAACACAGGACAGCTTCACAGTCCATTAAAAGCTACCTTCGCATTGGGCCATGCAAGATAAAAGCTTATGAAAAATTGCTATTTCACATTAGTTTTACATTAAAATGCATATGGTAACCCTTTTCAAGATAAAACTTACTCTTCAGTCAACACAAATTTTACAAATTTATCACTTCTACTTGTCACAAAATTCCAAAGTACTGAGTCAAAAACTTTTCAAAAACAAATAAAATTTCAGTCTAACTTTAACCTGACTTTAACATTCTTACAATTACAATGATTGCATACCTAATTGCTCATTGCCCTTGTTAATCTTGGCCTTCCTCTCCAGGGCGGAGGGTAGGGGTGGAATGTGTGCTAGGCTATGCTGTGCCCTCCACCCACTCAAGACTGGGGACATGTGGGGGGTGGAGCCCACCGAGGAAGAAGGGGACGACGAGGTCTTGCTAAGGTCACTTGTGATTTGGGAAGTCTGCTCAGTCATTTGTGGCGGTGACACTGGATGTACTGGAGAACCCATGTCCTGCATGGTCAGAATAAAAATAGCAGATGGAATAAAAATGGTAAAGGAGTACTAGCACTTGTTATGACGTGGCCAATGCAGGTGTTCAAATGCCTAGCCATGTTTTTGGTTATCTGTAACATGAAAAAGAATAGATGAAAAGTGAAACAAAGGGGCAGGGCATCTTTATATGCATATGCATGAATATCAAGTTATATCTAGACAATATATGTAGTTCACCAAGTGTTGAAAAAATCTAGCTTTGAATCAATGGAATTTTCAACACCTATACTCTTTGTTGCTGTAATACTCGACATCCTATATCCTGGAAATGGGTTAAAATGAATATCACCTCTTCAATATCTCTGTTTCAATGTAAAGTCTACAATTTCATAATATAAACCTCTACATACTGAAAAGACACAAACAGATATATTCATCTACATAAAATACACAAAAGATTAATTATTTCCACTGTGCATAGTGATCATTTTTCAGTCTGGTAATAACAATGTATGCCATTTCTTTCAGCCCAAGTTAATAAATACAAATGCTTGGTGCATAATAATCACTGTTATATCTTTACTAGTCACTCATGGACAGAATTTCAATTGACTTTTTTTTTAATCAATTTAATGATTAATTTATTTGAAATCAAAATGTAATTCTAACTAATAATCCCACAATGAAAATAAAAAAATTTGCAAATCAGTGACAACAAATTATGGTGACACATAAACATGATCATCTACAATTTGAAAGTCCATTACAAAATGGAGTCATCAATATAAATTTTTGCTCCTATTCCCAAATCATCTATAACCAAAAACAAAATTACCTATCATACTTCTATTCCATATTATTGATTTCTTCATACCCTATCATACATAAAGATGACCTCACCAAAATAATGAAAGGACAGATATACTAGAACAAAAGAAATGAGAGGTCCCTCACATTTCTAAAATCTTTCTAGTCTATTTCAATTTTTAAATACATTAAAAAACATTGCCCATGTATATATCAATCAGCCAAATCATCTTGTATCCATATATCCATATATAGCCATCATTCCCGCCCCAACAGAGTACAGTGCATGGCCCTACCACCACCACCACGAGTGCACAAAACACCTGTGTACAAAACACCTGCATACCTGCTCCAACGAGGTTTGCGACGTCCGAGGTGAATACAGCCACTTGGGCTTGGGTGGGACGGGAGGTGGTGTCTTTTTGGGTCGTGAGAAGTCCCCTGACACCTATGGCAGGCAAGGACAGAAACACACGTGCATAGTATGAGGACAGTTGAAACAAAAGCTAGCCAGAGTTTGATACATAACTATTGCAAAAAGTTGATAATATCAACAAGACTATACAAATACTAAAAAAAAAAAAAAAAGCTAGAATAATAATCAAATTAATCACAAATTTAAAAGTGTACAAAAGTATAGAATATTTGACTTAAAAAAGCAAAACATCAAGTATAAAAAGATGATAACTAAAAAAAAAAAATCAGACAGAGTGTGTTAAGTTAATATTGGTGGGTATTATCATTTCAGGCATCACTGTTCACTACAACACTGCAATCCATGCTGCTGAAATAGTTACACTGTTTACTTGTTATTGGCCTTTTTTAAGGAAGAGGTTGTTCTGGAAATATCATGCTGAAAATTTCATCAATCATTATAACCCAACACCATGAACAGAGATCAGTATGATAAAGGAAGCATAAGTGTGTGGCTCAAGTCTACAATTCATGTGCAATACCAACCAAAGTCTGTATTATCATTATAGAAAATTAATAATCTTTGACTCAAATATTGTGGCTGGTTATCTTCTATTACTGGTACATGCATGGCACAATGCTGGAATGGGCAAGCAAGAAATCTAAACATGTTAGGAATTTGATTTTCAGAAATATTTGACAAAAAGAAAAAAAAAAAGACAGACACGCAAGGATAGACATACACAAATAACATGGGTCAATCGTGATTAAATATTGCTAAGATAAAAAGGGCATCCAGTTAATGGGGGAGGAGGGTGGGGATTGGTCAAATGTATAAGGGACCCTAAATCAGCAAGGATGTAAGAAGTGACAGTCTTCTTCTTCCAAATCATATAAAGCCTCATGATACATACAATTGCATGGAATGTTAAGAGACAACTTACTGTAGTATAAGCTTTTGTGTCTTTGAAGCTAAGCTAGTAAGGTATTGAAACAAAATATATAAATGTACTTGGTGAATAGCTATAATGGGATCCAGCTGTAATAGAAACATGGTTTAGGACTGTGAACACTCACTATTCATTCCACTCTAGCTGCAATAAATGGCACACTTTGATGGGTTAGACAGCATGCTTTAGTATGTTAACGAGGACTGATATCTTCAATGCATTTTATGGTTTCAGAAACTGCAAACTAAACAGGCACGTCATACGCTGTATAACAAGCATTAATTGACAACATTCCAGCATCCAAAAAATAAAGAAATAAAACGAGGTTTCAAAAAGTTTTGAGTAAAGAAAGTGCTGTATGGCACCCTTTAAGGAAATTCCTACCAAGTTTCAAGAAAACCTGCATTATTTTATTCAAGCAATAATGAACACAAAGCATCCTTAGTATTCTTATGCACATTTTGTTTACTTTTACCATGCTGTTAAGAGTTAAAAGATCATCAGTATCTGTCAAATATTAGTTCTGTTAGCGTACCTGAGTTTTAGTTTCCACCACCGGTGTCTGCCTCCTAACTTCCTCCACCTCTTTCTGAACTACAGCATAAAAACTAGGTGATCTAGTCTCCCCCACTACATGGGGCTTGGACTGAGGGGTGGTTCTTTCTATGCTAGGAGGGGTACTAGCTGTCTGAAGACCAGCATAAAAAGTTGGTCCTCTTTCTGATACCTTGACTTTTATTTGTTCGTCCTGACCCACTACAGGCTCATCAGGTTTAGATTTCTCAAGTAAGGGTTCCCTTTTTTCTTCACCAGGGACCTCAGTCAAAAAGAAGCCCTCAGCATCTATTTGGTTCTTTACAGCCTTCTTCTGTGGCTGAATGATCTCCTCCTGCACTTCTTCTTTCAGTTCTTCTTCTTCTTCCATCCCAGCATCTACATCATCTTGAGATACATCAGCCATGGCGGCTGCTGCCATGAACTCTTGCATCTTGGGAATATCGCCAGAGCTGGTAGAGGACACGGAGTCCCTTCTCTCCTCTTCTGCCACTTTCCTGTCCCTCAATATTTCTGTTTTGATTATCTACAGAAAATGCTCACATTGAATTCACTTTTTTTAGTTCTTTAAACACAAAGGGTTCATCAGCAGAAGCTGTTAAAAGCAAGGTACTTTCTAGTGGTTTTTAGACTGATCTATCACTACACAGTAGGGAAACATGGTGGACTTAGTGGGGTGAAAGTGCTTGAAAATCACTATCTAAAATGCTACACTAAGAACAGCACAAATGATCAGAGACTATCATGATTATATTAAGCAAAAAGTGATTCTTACAGCTCTTAGCCAAGAAATTATTCAAACTGAGCATTAGGATCAGTGTTAAAAGACCTACAGCAACTCACCAAGAAGTTCATTTCTACTTTTCAATAGTTTAGTAAAAGAACTCACTCTGATTGAACAAAAAGTGAAGGAGAACTGCAATCATGAAGATTGTCTTTACTACTTTCTACATGGTGCCATATTTGATACCGTAAGATTAAATAAATCACCTATTGGAGACCAAAGAGATAATTTCAAAAGATCTAGAAAATCAGACACTCTCACACACAAATACGATGAAGAGGAAGGTTATCCAGGTGGGTGTAAAATCATTCTATTGTCAACTCACTATTATAACACAGCAGTTATGTGCATTTAACAAGATGGGTGATTTCTTGGCTCCGTGTCATAGTTATAATAAACAGTTATCATAAGCGTTGACAAGCTTCCAAAAAAGCACGTTTATTTCTCAGTATTTAATGGAGTTATAAACATGGATCATATTCTCTGAAAAATCATATGTGTTTGTAATGCTGGTGTCACACAGTTCCCACGATGATACCAAATAGCCATATGGAACAGTGTGACATCAAAATAAGCTTATCTAATCATGATCAGTCACATTTCGTATCAGCTTTCAAATGCTAGGATTTGAGGAAGGGTACAATGAAACTGGTTCAAAGTTACACTACTGCAGACAACATGACTCATGCTTTCCATTTCTATGACTTCATTATTTAAAATTCACAATTAATGTGACATGCATGCAACAAGGATCAAATTGCCTTGGTTACAAATGAGGAAGTTGGTCCTGTATTAATATAATGCACGTTTTTCAATTTGCTTGTTAAATGTCACATTAATTACCCCCCCCCCCCCTCAATTAGAATATGATATTAGTATCATAATAGCAGGAAGCAGCAATCAGCAAGTTGAGAAAAGCAGCAAAACACCAGTTCTAAAACCTAAAGAGAACTAAATCAAGGTCTATTAGAGAAAGGCACATAACTGTATTTGATGGCAAATACAATTAAAACATGAACATAAAAATGTCAACCTCATGTTGCATATGAAAAACACACACTTGGTATACTTCTCTTGAGGCATCACTTGTCAGTGAAGCTGTCTGATGTACATTAAAAATTAACTTTATGAATCAATATACGAAGAAAAGACTCAATAATTCTCAAAAAAAATTGTCACAGATGTCGATCAGATATTTAGTATTACAAAATGTGTACACATTATTCTCTTTAAGAAAAAAGGCCCTGTGTGAAAGAGTTACCTCTTCTTCTTCCACCTGTTGGTCTTCCCATTCCTCCTGCACATGGTTGTCCAGATTTTGTGGTTGTTCCTTTTTGTACGAACCACTGCTACTATCACTGCCTTCCTTTTCATGTCTAGCTTCAAGTTCCCGGAAAATCTCTTCCGTTAGCTAAAATGAACATTTTGTGATAATAGTTTAACTGCTATGTCTGATAGAAAAAAAAGGATAATTTTTTCATGCCATAAATTTTCCATTCGAAAAAGAAATGTAATCCTTAAATGACAAACTTATTTTCTTATTCATAACTTTTCTTTTAATTAAAGGAAATAACATACACATTATAATATCATAACATATACAATATTACTTAGTGATTTTGCAATTCCATACTCAAAAACACTGGTGTGTGTTAAATGCTAAATAAAAGTCAAAAGCATAACAAAAGGCAATAATTTCACTCACTCACATCATTAGAAAGCCATTTTACATTTAATATGCATACAAAATGTCATGCATTAATTTTTTTTTTAGGTATCCCATTCCCATCATAAGCTTTTTTTAAAGACATTTTTTATAGAAATAAAAATGTGACAATTTCAGGGAGATATCAGAAACACAAAATCATTTTGAAACATTTCTGCACAACACGAAAACGCATAACTTCAAACTAAATGGATTCCTTTAATGTGGGAACTTACTTTCATCAACTCCTACATATTTATGAAAATGATACAGTGCTGTTAAAGATCATTCTATAATATACAGGAAGATTGATATGGACATTTTTAGATTAATATGTTTTGAGCCTGCTAGAATTTGATGAATTCAAAATTGTTGCCATTTTTAACAGCTGAAAAGTTTTAATAGAAATGACTTCTATGACATCTTCTAGGTCAACCCCATCTTTAAAATCTCACAAAATTCTCAATGCAGTAAAATCATACTCTAAAGAACAAGATGCCTGGTAAATATTCCTGGTTCCAATACCTACCTGGTGCTCTTCCAGAGGAGCTGAGGGGTCATCCCTGGGTGGCACAGTGTCAATCAATGCATCATGATTGACAGGGGGTGTGGCTACAAACTCCACCTCAAGACGATGCTCTTGTGGAGGGGGAGGGGACTCATGCATGTATAAGGCATTGGCATGCGGCTCGACATGCTGGGAGGAAAACACAGCACTCTCATAACTAGCTCCAATTTCAGCTTCAGTGTAAGTGGGCATGGACATCTGCAGGCAAAGCAAGTACAAGGCCAGTTATCATATAAAAAGACTACATGGCTTTTAAATAAAACGGGTCAAGTGTTATTCTACATGACATTACAACAGGCTTATGACAAACACGGGAACAGATAACATGCAATACACTGTTGACACATCAACAGACAACAACATTCATTCAACTACTGGCGTTGGGATGTCTTTGAAATAAATAAAAAAGCTAGGAATGAAGGCCTGAAAAACTTCTTATCTGTGTGCCAAATATAGGTAGATAACTGATATTATATTGGGTAATGCATGGTAAGCAGCAAACTGGTTGTGAGAAATGTCCCAAACTGGATATTCTTTTCAAGAAATGAAGGAAGGCTGTAATTCATTCTTTTCAACTATCTTATATGCAAATAACCAGACATCTAAGAAGGTATTAGTTTTATGAAATCAAGCTATTAATATTTAGCCAAGTGGTGAGTTATTTCTGTGCCGTCTTATTAGTCTATCATATATAACATACATTTATTTTCCCCACACACCCAAAAAAGAATAAAACTTTCCACTCTTAAGAGAGTTAATATGCCATATACTTAAAGCAACTTAACACCACTTTCTAAAAAAATTACATAAAACACTAGTAAAACCTTGTGTACAAGCACATAATTCTAGTATCTTAATAAGCTACAGTAACTGTTAGTTATTTTCTAACTCTGTTTATCATACAAATGTGACATTCTGTTTGATGGAAAATGATTAACAGTGATATATGTATAGGTGTGCATTAAAAGTGACTAGTGTACATGCTAGTGACAGACTAGATCAATGTATCAGGAAATTGTCAGATGGAATGATCCTTCAGAAAGTGACACATTTTTTATGACGACCCCTGTAATATGAAAATTGAAAATTTGACTTTATGCAAGTTGTACAACTCAAGTTTCTTCAATAAGAACAAAAAGAGTCCAAATATGAGAGAAATGGTTGTTTACATAAAGATGTTCCAACAACTAATGTAAGGAGGTGGTAATTTTATAGTACTTTCCATTTCAATTAATGGGAAAATAAATATTTTTTTACAGATTAACAGAAATATGTTTGCTTGTTTGCACAAAAGTAAAAATGCTTTGTCTACAAACAGTTAATGGTTACTTATAGTTATTTGATAATAAACTGATATTGCATATCTAAGCCACAAGTATAATAAAGCTTTTAGTTAGGTGCATTTGCAAAATAGCATCTGAATGAGGTGAATTTAGCATGAAAGCAGTAAGGTTAAAACTGATGCAATTATGTTAGTAAATATGTAAAATACCTTTTTCCTCACACATTAGTAAACTATAAGAGAAAACACTTCTAAGTTTGTTTGCATCCTTCACAGGTTAATAATTTTATGACTATAAATAGAATTATATAAATATATGGAACATTGTTAATAATAAAAAAAAATTTACTATGTCAAACAGAATTAGAGGCTTTCATGAAAAATTAAATTTGGCTATTCTAACTTGGCTCTAGACTTCAAAATATATGCAACCACAAGCTTATGATTAAAAAAAAATGGGCTTGTTTAAATTTCCATCTATTCATGATTGGGTAGGCAAATCACTAAACCTCATTTAATGGATATAGGCTGTAGCACAGAAGTAGTCCGGCTTCTTGCTGAGTGACATTTTCAATTTTGTTCAAAGATTAATAGCACAAATCCACTGCAATCTATGTGTACTAAGGTAGACTAAAAAGTAAGGTGTGTGTGTTTGTGTGTGTGTGTGTGTGTGTGTGTGTGTGCGTGTATGCACACATGCGCGAGTACACACGGTGGCACATGAATGCAACTATGCTATGGGAGATATGCAGTTTGGGGCATTGATCTCAACTGCTATAAAAGTCCTACATAACTATATTAAATATGCCTAACACAAATCATACAATATGTGCCACAAGCAGAGTCTAACTTCTATCCTATATCTCAACTAACTCCCTCACCCCAGTCTCTGCCTTCCCAGGGGAACTATCCCGTTTCAATTCAAGAAACCGTTGTATGTCCCAGTGGTCATATATTAAGTCAGAGCTAGCCATGCAAAGGCATTCACTCATTAGTGTTAATAAAAAGGAGGTAAAAAGCTAAAAAGGAGGCATAACTCAATAACTAAGGCCCAAGCCTAAATACAATATATATCCTGGCAAGACACAAAGCAATCTATGGTAAACCTATAAACCTTCGTTTGCTCCTTAGTGGAATTACTGAATTGAATAGTATACCTCCTTCCTCATTGGAGACACTGATGGGCCAAATTCAAACAACTTGGTTAATTCAATTCTGCGCTTCAATGTGCAACTGTGATGAAATATTGGCTCAAATGCCATAAGAAATTGATCCACTTTTTGCACTACATGCCTCCTCTCTTTCTCACAAAAAATTCAATTAAACATTTCTGATAACTTCAAACTGACTGGGGCAAAAATCTGAATTATAAGACTTTTAGTACAACAAAACCCATGCAACAAATCATGTTTTAATAGTCAAAAAATTTATAAGGCACCAAGACAGGTTATACATGTAACATGCAGGGTAGTAAGGAAACACAGGCAATAATATTATGGTTAACAACAGGAAAAACACAGGCAGCAAACTGGGCATTAGTATGTACAAGGGGCTGGGGCACACACATGGCCAGGATGTTAATGGCTGCGAAAAGCACTTAGAAAGGGGAATCATGGCACTTCCAGTAGCACTCAGGGTGCAGCAGGTGGGGCAAGGCTTCCTTGGACAGAGAACAAGAGAGAGACTAGACTTACCACCATTTCTGGCTGGCTACTGAGGCTGGTGTCAGGCACAGGCAAGGGTTTGGCCACTCCTATCTGTACTACTCCCTTGGGAGCACCTTTCAAGGCTTGCACAGCTTGGTCCAGTGTGGCATTCTCTAGGTTGATCTCATTAACGAACATGAGGCGGTCCCCGGGCACCAGTCTCCCATCGACTTGTGCCACTCCCCCGGGGACCAGGCTGCGGATCACTATCACAGTCTCTGAGGGATTAAGTGGATCCTGCAAAAAAATGTGAAAAATAAGACCTTCAACATTGTTACTTTCAAAGTAACCAGAGTATTTTATAGAATACTATGTTGTAAATATGAAAAATTCAAAAGGGTAACACAGGAGGTATCATGTATACACATTTGCTTTATAGGCCAAGCAGAAATAATAACTCACTGCTGGTTTTCCTGTCATAATTATCATATTTTGATCTATGAATATACTTCAAGTCACTAAAAAATTAATTTATCATACCAGTACCTAATAGTTCAAAAGACAAGTGTGTTAGCATCTAAACATGCTCACCTGGTGGACTGACAATCACACTTACCTGGTAGTCCAATATACTAAAGCCCAGACCTCTGTCCCCCTTAACAAGCTCTATTACCACTGGCTCACTACTCCACATAGCCAGGCCAGTCAGGGGCTCTAGAGAACGAGATTTATTTTTATTTAATTGCGGCACTTCAGTAACATTGAGTGTCTGTTCTGACTTGGCTTTAACCAAGCGGTCGGGTCCACGCACGGGACCCACTGAAAATGGTGCAGGAGGAAGTGGTGTCTGGAAGAACTCGTCGCGCTTTTGTGCATAGCTGAAGTCTGTCTGTGAATGTTTCCGCCGCGCACAGATGATGCGGACATGTTGCGGTAGTTCTTTAAGTATCTTGACCACGTCAACATGACTCAACCCCAGGAGCTTACGGCCATTTACCTGTAAGCATTGACAGTCAACATATCATGTTAATATTCATTTCCTCTTTTAAACTAATATCCTACAGTTAATTTTAATGTACAATATGATGTGTCAAAAGTGAACAATTCAAACTGTTGAGTTAACGTATTGTGATATAAAACATTATCAAAAAATTCTGAAGCCCTTTATCACATGCAAAAAAGCTTTAAGTACTTCTTTAAAATTTAATTAAATAAATACAGAATTTATAATAATATTAATTTCTTCTGTAAGCCCATCAATTGTATCAGATTCACGTGATACTACCTCCAGCAGTTCATCCCCACTCTCCAGTTTTCCATTGGCCCCCACTGGTCCATCTGGGAGTATGGAACGTATAAAATGATGAGGACGCACCTCGTGGCCATTTTCTACATCCACTGTACCCTCTAAACTTATACCAAGGCCTCCTCCCTCACGGAACTTGGACAACTGGGCAACCTGGAATAGACAGCAACCCAATTCGTAAATATGTCAAACAGAATTCAGGGTTTTCGTAAAAGACTAAATCTGGTCATTTCAACTTGCCTCTAGGCTTCAAAATATAGAACCAAATTGTTACCAAATTGAAAAGTTTATTTTTTTACATCACTTTATAACACATCAATCAGTTGCTTTCTAACCTTATACTCTATACACAAATTCTTGAGGAAGCCAACTCAAACAAGATTAAAGCTCAATTTTTTCTTAGAATACTTTCGAGATATTAGTGCCTAAAAACTAGGAAAAAATTGATACTGAATGCTATGAAACAGGAGTTATTTCTTGGCCAATGTGAAGCAAGATACACTTAATGAGCTCAAGGTCATTCTGGTACAAACACATCAATGCCATAAAGAATACACCAGTCAAGTCTTTTCCAGAATTATGTTTCCTTGCATTATAGCAATGTCATTCTGTCCTACAAGGTTCAATAATGGAAGTTACTGATTGACTGCCACATAGCACTATCAGGCTGCATCAAGTACAGAATCACTTCCCCATGGCAAACCTCAAATTAAGGACAATATCATCAATTTAGCTGTCATTTCCTATTATAACTATTCTTTCTTCTTGTCAATATGTATCTATTCCTTTATATTCATTCGTGGAATAATTCCGTGATGTCAAAGAGGCTATGCGCAGAATATTTTGCATGCAAGCAACTGCATTTTTTTTTTCTATAACCAAATAAGAAACAGATATGTCATACTGCCACAAAATGTGTTAGGAAGTTTTCTATTTCTCATATAAAACAAGTTATATGTGGTAATCACACAGTCACCAGCCTAGCTGTAAACCATCTGAGTACAGGGATCGAGACTGAGTGGAAAGTACAGATGCTAGAAGTTGGGGATATCTTACATCTGCCTAGCTTCAGCAGGAGTGTTAATGAGAAAGGATAGCTTTCCCTTGGAGAATGTGTTATTTTTAGCCAACAGATAAGTGACAACATATATAGCTATATTCACTGATATTTTTCACTTACCACAACTTCGTATTCATCACCAACCATGGGCTGCCAAGTGGCTTTTAAGGCCTCCTCTACTTCCTTTGACAATGGAATGCCTGGAAAGAGAAAAAGAAGGACTGTTGTTTAAAAACAAGCAAAAAATACTTCTATAACCAAAAATGTTAGGATTTCTGTTGAGCTTTCATTTCCCCTCCCCCCCCCCTTTCTTTTTCAAAGAAATGTTTCAGACCTACTTTATTTGCCATAAACAGAGGCTAAAATCCTCTCTTGCAGCAAGTCTTAACACCCTTTTTTCAAAGAGCTGTCTATAAGTAAATCCACTCACCACAAGCAAACAATCTGTACAGTTATAATGATACTACAAGGCAGGCTAAAGCCAAAGTTAAATCTATTTAAGACCACTAAAATATAAAATAGATTTCAGGTTCAGCATTTTTAAAACACACCCAGTTTAAAAAGATACAACCCAATCATTGTGAAGAAATTATTTCAAGAAGTTATTCAAAATGTAATTTTTAACATTAGCAAGCAGAGAGTCATATGAAACTCCAAAATAAACTAATAAACTGAAGCTACTTTGTAAGTCACTACAACATACCACCAATAATGACTAGTTAAAAAGTAAGAAGACAATCCTTGTTTATGTTACAGCATCTAAAATTTATTGTAAACCAATTAAATCACGACCAGGGCATCCCTATCTGGGCTGACACCATTTTAATTCTCCATTTTTAAAGAGATCCTTGAATACTGAACCAAGTATGTGAAATTTCTAGCGAAGAACAAGTTGCAAATATAATTTTTCATCTTCTAAACAGAATGTGAATGGAGACTTCTCACCTGCTCTAAAATAGGTTGGAAGGGGGGGGGGGGTCTGCGGGGAGTTTGTTCTTTATAGACTGACAGTAAGAGTAATGGGTAGACAATTCTGCTCTCTCTGTTATGAAATATTGACTTTCATGAAATCAATGTCTAGGTGTTATAGCAAATATTATGAGCTTTAATACCCACAAACATATCAATCAGCAAACTCTCTCTCCTATAACTCTCCCTCCCAATCTTTACTTGGCCATCAAATCAGCAGGGGTTGGTCCACGCACCTGAACCACACTTGTTCAGCCTCCAAACAACAGCAGTAGTCCATTAGTTTCAATCATTATACGATTACAGCACCAAACAATTACTGATTCGAATTCACTGCGGTGGATCATTTCAAGTCTCTGTTACTAGTTACCAGTTCAAGAATACCTTGGGAGGTGGAGAAGTACTTTATTGAAAGCCTGCTGAGTATGGCTTTATAATGTTATAGTGATGTTTGACTGGGATATTAGAGCCTAAAAATAAGTTTAAAAAAACTTTTTGTGCACTGCCATCTTTTCAACAAAAACAACAACAAGAAATACATTATAAAAATTCCAAAATAAAATAAAAACAAGGCAGCAAAGCTGTCAAATGTACAGACAAAAAACAGGAAATAACTATGCACAAAATAGGCTACTGTCAATTCTGATGCAAAAGTACATTATGTTAAACTGCAAATTCAACATCAAATTTTAATTATGCTCAACAGGTAATACCAATGTAAGTAAAATGTGTAACAAGTTCACACTTTGTATATGTATAACTTCCAGAAAAAGAAGCCAATTAGACTGCTTTTCCAACTCAGGCTGCATTTAAGTCCTGTATTTCTTTTATTGAAAGTAAGGCAATCATAAGTAACATGATTTTCCCATAATGGTCCTCATGGCAGCAGTGCCCAAAATACTTTTTTTCAAATTTTGATGCAATATTACATAATGTTTAACAGCATAATGACCATCAATTTTAATAATAAAATATTAGTATTATGGATATTCAGAAAATGTGACTAGCAAAGGTCTTCAGGCCCATGGAACTTCAAGTCACAACTTGAAAATGCCAAAATGTAAACAAGACAGCACTGTTCTGAAATGTTTTTTTTTTNCATGCTGATTTTCGAACTTGACCTGCGTTTTATGAATATTCATCAGCTCTGTAAATATAAAACCAAAAAATAAAACTGTGTTCCACTTATCGTGTTTACAGTGAAAGTGCACGGCGACGGCATCGCCATCGGCATCGGCATCGGCGACGACGGCGACGACAGACGCAGGTGATGGCAATATGTACAGACACATCTGTGTCTGTACATAATTATTAAATTTAAAATAAAAAATCAATAATATAGTTAGCAATTTCATCATTTCACAAAGGTCTAAATATGAGATCCCATATAAAAAGTTGGCCATAAAAATAAAGCATTTTTCAGACAAATGTCAATTATTAATGAAATCATGCCTGTCAATTATTAGACCACTTTTATATTAATCAACTATAATGTCATGCCAATTGTTAGACCACTTTGATATTGAATCAACTATAATGGCAAGGTAAAAACTAATTCTAAAAAGTCTTATTAACTAGAAGTTAATAGTCTACATCAGTATGGAAAATCTAGTTCTTCCATAAATCCAAATCATATATTTTGAAACAGAATATTCCCAAAATACTGAAGAGAGCACATGGAAGTAGGAAGTGGGGTTGGTATATTATTTACAACCAAGCACAGTAGGGAAATATAATGGTAGATGAGCTGGTCTGGCGGAATTCTATTGCATTCAATATGAACTATACACCAGAGTTAAAATTTATACTCTTCATGATGTCAAAATTCTAAACAGCATTATGCACTAACTGAGGTATTTGTCAGGGTTTTTTTAACTGATAAAAAGTTGTAAACTGACAAAAGTTATAAAAGGGTTTTCATTTTTTAAAGGATTCCTTTATTGCACATGTGTTCTTCATATCATGTCTCTGCCTCTTAATTATATACAAAATACTCAAATTCAATATTCAATATCCTGGTAGCTAATAATAAAACATGACAATATTGTAGGCAGCCTGCATATTGCTAGAATGGTTCAGGATTAAATGAAATAAAGATATACATAAACACTTATTCCTTAGCAATAAGCACTGATGTAGTATCTTCTAATGTGCCTTTATTATACTTTCTTCCCTATTATCACACTCTAGCAACCCATTACCTAAGGTTGTGCATGCCTGCAGATAACATTGTGATATTTCAGACACCTTTTAACTAAATGCCAAATGGAATTCATGATTTAAGGTGGCATTTGGGTATTGTCAATGCCATAGTTATGTGTTTGAGTACGTGTCTTGCCTGCACGCACACATACATCAACCCACACCAACATACAAACAGACCACATTAAACCTCCATCCCTCATCCCGTGCATAATATCTACATGACTGCAAAACCACAATAACTATTCAAGTCCTTATTGGTGACTAACTGTGAATAATTTATGAACGTAACCCATATACTACTGGCTGGACTATATATGTCTATTTGTATACCACTCAAGTTTCAATAAATGATTGCTTAGGCACTAAGTTCAACTGTCATTATACCACAGCTTTTGGCAGCTTGATCAAAATGCCAAATACTTAATGCACACCTGTCCTTCTCCCAGGTTAATCGTATACATTCTTGTAGATGAACGTATTACTTCTTGGTTTTAGCATAACACAGACATTAAACACAATTTAACTTACTTGCCACTTATACATTTTGTACCCATTTACCTTCTAGCAATTACAAAACTTGGAAACAACCTGCACTACTAAATCATCCAATAACATGAATTCTGCAAAACATTAACATCCAGTAAACCAAGTAAATTCTTTATTTTCATGACTTTAATTTTTTTTTTCCTTTTTTCACTTACCAATACATTTCTTTTTCATTTTCTTCCCACGTTTATGTCTCCTGCTACCCACAGTCATGATGGGAGTAATGCTGGCTGATAGCATGATCACTCAATTAACTGTAATGCTACCTGTTGTAAGTTAAAGGCCAATGCTTACTTCAATCAGTGCCATCGGCAAACAAAACTATCTGCACACACAAAGACATGTACAGTATCTGATTGCTCACTTCTTTCGCACACTTATGTGACAGAGGCACCGAGGCTGCTTTGTCTGTTTATTCCGCAATGAATTATTTATTCCTCAGGGTCCGTTATACCATTGATCCAATTATGTTCACAGAATTATTGTTCATCTTCAGTGACAGCCTCCAGGTTCCCAGTTGCTGATTTGCGACTCGACTGTAAGAAGAAGACCTCTCCTTATGCCAGGGAACACCAGTTGTCCTTTCCAATACTACAACTTAGACTACAATCATAAAAGACTTGCTACTAATGGAATATCTCGGTGCCCCGGCATCGCTTAAAGTCAGGGCAGGATTATAGTATGTAAATCTGATGTGACATGTGACACATGGTCTCACCCCAGTGCACAACTTCAACAGGTGAAACTGGAGCAAACAGCACTGATAGCTGCTGTGAGGAAAATGTGAACGCCAGTCCGTTTCGTGGCCTCTTTTTGGCCTATCAGGTGCTCACTAATTAGAGACTGATCACTAGTGAGAACAATCTCCCACTGCGTATTGACACCTTTTTCAATCACTAGCTTTGAACCAGTGATGTTTTTGAATTGAATGCTTTGGTTCCAAGTTACTTCTGTTTCTCCTTTTTTCTTTCACAATTCTCAGAAAAGACATATACCTATGCTTCAGTAACCATCTTGCGATACTCCCAGAGACAATAATGAAATATCAACACGGAGCATACAGACACCAATTTCAAGAACAGTCTGTGTAAACATTTTGTCAAAGCCTTGCTAAATTTCAAACCCAAAAGAAGGTTGAAAGATCATTTATTCAACAACTATCAGAACTTAAACATGATGAAATTCATTCCATGAAGTGCTAGAAATTCTAGAAAATGTTTCAATAAAATGCTTTTTACTAAGTCTGGGAAGTGTGTCCCAACTGATTTAGACAAACATTCAGAACAGGCAACAGAACAAAACAGCTCAGAGAGAGAAAGAGAGAAATACAAACCAGCTACAATAATCAGCCAGAGTAATCTACACATTAAAAAATTCTACTGCAAAACCAAAAGCTGTTCAGAGAAAACAGTTCTCCCTACATTGATCGCAACAAGGGTGTCATTTCTGTAAATTATGTCCTTGAATATTACCTTTTAAACTGTAAGTATGTCAACCTAAAACTAGCTATGAAAATTCACGGTACAGCCTCAAACCCACCATTTAACAATTTCAGTTTACATAATTTAAAGGTGGTTTCATTTACTAAGATTTGATAAATTGTTCATACTGACAATTCTACAATACCTTTAATGCAATACTGCATTATTTATCTCTACCAATCTTCCTACTGAATGTCCTGTGATCTATACTTTGCATGAGGGAATTATATTCAGGAGTGCTTTTACTGTCACAAGCACTAGAACTAATTTGACATGATCCAATATCAAATTTTCTTTTTTGTTTACAATATGACAAATGAAATGCTCTTAAGCTTTACATGGATACTGGTACATAAACATTATTTATATTATATTAAAAATAAAACAGTATAAAGAGGAAATCATAATAGTTTCTCCATGTATTTGTATTTGATTTAGGTCAATGATCAGATGGTTTATGAAGTTGAGATGCAATGCTCATGTCTTGGGTTTTGATGCTCAGAGTTAATGGAGTTCAAATGCATGCACAATATTGGCAAACTTCACTACATGCTTGAAAGAAACTATAAAAACTTAATGCTAAATCTCGGAAGACCTTATGATGCCAAAAATGCACAATGATGGTTTTTCTTGCAAACTGCACAGCAGCCCATAGGATGATCAAGTAGGCTCTTTGGCATGGTGACAGCACAGGAAATTACCAGTCTAGAAAGAGTTATAGTACACAAATGCAGCTTTAGTGCATCTATAATAAGCCACCACACATTAAACAGCACAGATGGAAAAGCTTTAATGTTTTCTTTTTCTTTTTTATTTTTAATATTATACAGAATAATATATGAAAATGCAAGCTCACATTGCTGGTGTTTTTTCTTTCTTCCACTTATTATCAAAGCTTTGAAATAGTGTTAATTTGCCATAAATACACATTCAGTTGAGTTTTAGGGATTCTTTAACAGCCAGGATGATGAATCAAAACTTTTAAGATGGATGCCAAACCATCAATCCCTGAAAATTGTCCAACCAGTGAACCTTATCAATTCCGTAGACAAATATTGATGAATTGACAGACAGGGTCTCATTTGGGAACAGCAAGCAGCATCAAAAGATGCGCTTGCTTCTGGTTTACAATAGTCACTTAACTGTTGCTGAACCAAAAGAAATTTTGGTGCTTTCACACAACAAGCTTCAACATTTCTCCAACTATATGAAAATCAATGACAGACTCTCCACTAGCAATCACCTATAATGATGAATTTCATCTCTGCTGTGTAATGAAGTATTCTAAACAGCAAAAATTGTTCAACGAGGTTGTAAGCTGAATTTCAAAGATTAATCATTAGAGAATAGCATCAGCCATACTTGAAGAATCTTCTCCTTTCAATGGCCTATTAAAATTTTATCATCCTCATTCAAGTGATATGTATGTTGCTGCAAGACTAATCCTAGATAAGTCATAGAGCTGAAAATCATGCATAAAAATGAAAAAAAAATCATTAGTGCTTGCCATTCAACAATGCTACATCACGACGATTGTTTGTGATATATTTTAGCTCATAATGAAGACGTTTCTGACATGTGTAATGCACTATGCATGTTTTTGCCAGAGAACCTGAAAATGCACTTACAAAACCAAACTTCACAATAACCAATATCAACCAAAATGACCTTGACCAAGCTTCATTAACATCCACACTGCCAATACAGTCTGTTAATACAAAATAATTTCCGCCAGTCTTCATTAGCAAAACCTATAGTTAAATGTACAATAGGTGATCGTACATCTGCCCTTCAGTCAGTAATCAGAACCCTGTTCGCCTTTTGTTAACAACCATAATGAATTTGAACGACAACGAAATTCAATTCAGTTCTTAATGGAAATTCCCTGCCCTGGAAGTTTTATGCTTTAGACACAGCCATTTCTTCTGTTAACTACCTGTCAGTGTGTTTCTTCTACTTATTTTTGCCCTTTTTTTTTTTTTTTTTTTAAACCCCCATGGGCTTTACAGTTTCATTGCAAATGCTCAGAAAAAAACAACAACAACCAAAGAACCTAAAAACTTGGAATAAGGTCTTATTTACACCAACATTAAATTGCATATTATACCCATTTTTATGTTCTATGCCAGTGCTGTATAGTGACTAAAAAGCACCCTCAGGACCTATTTCTATCATCCATATAGTTTTTAGAAACCTTTTTACAGAACTTGAATAATATGAACAATAATAGGATAAAAAAAATCCCTATTCCATTACCATAAATGACTGCTAAATCAGAACTGCCTGACATATGTATTACTTTTATCTAATGAAAACCTTTTACTTTCTGGTAGTTCCTTTAATGAAATAGCCCATGATGGAAATGTCATATACTCTCTGCCATTGCCAGAGACCATAAGTAGAAAATGGCATGTCACCACACTCAACACCAAGCTTCCTGCAGAGATTTTATAATAGTTACTTTCAAAGGCCCACACACTTCAGTAAAAACAAAATCCTGGCAAGCAGTACATCTCATAGCACATCAATGGCATGGGGAGTTGATATGTAGCATTTCCTTTGAGGCTCACAGATACAAGCTTGTGCCAAGATGCCATACGGAACTTTTTAGAAAAGAACAATCAATTCTTTAAAATGCCATTCAATTCAGTGTGACTGCTGTTCTGACTGAACAGTTACTGCATTGTCTCACTCATGCCACCTATTGGTAAGTTTTGTATCATTAGACACAGATTACAAGGGGGACAGAAAGCTTCATAAGTGTTTGTTAACAGTTTATGAAAAATATATATATATATATATATATATATATATATATATATATATATATATATATATATATATATATATATATATAAACAGAAAAGAATGGAGAAAGATGCAACAAACTGAAAATATATTAAATGAAATTCAGACAAATTTTCTGTCAATGAGAGAATGCACGCACACACATTCACACACATTCACACACACACACACACACACACACTCACAAAAGACCTGAAAACTTACTGTAATCTTCATCTAAGTACATGCTTAGATCATTGATGTCGACATCTTTGGTCACTTCTTCAGAAACGTCTTGTTTGACGGCCCTGTATGTTTCATTTTCCTCCTCATACTGGTCATGTGGGGGTGGTGGGGGAGACCTGGAGGGTGGAGAGGAGGGGGTGGGGGATGATGACACATGCTGAGCCTCTCCAGCAGCCAGAGCAGCAGCAGCAGCAGCCTTAGCAGCAGTGTGGGCTGAAAAGAAGGGATGCAAGAGACATGAGCTGAAGTTTACACAGGTTCGGAAATTATTTAATCTCCCGAGTTGGCACTAAAGCAAAGGCCTGGCATAGCCATGCACAGGTTGAAACTCTGTAAGGTAAAACATGCATAAAACATGCCAAACTTTTTCTTTAAACTCAACACATAACTTAAAACTCATATGGCCATTTAAAATGTACACTCAGATGATGGATAAAACAAGCAAGCAAATGGTTTTGTCTCAATAAACTTGATTATTATCTTCCTTCTACTAAATTAGACACTGACAAGAATTAAGTGGGCAAAAAATATTCAATAATGTGGATACTCCTATAAATAATTGGGTTACAATCATGTATTAGAATCTAGTAATTTTGGAATTATTTGTATTATCTTCAATACCCTCCAAATACCAATGTATGTGTAAAAGCAATATTAGGTGCATTGCTTTGAGAGCCCTTTCACCTCTGACAATAATGCAGTTGCTGATCTACAAAATGGCGAATGGGCAGAACAAATATCACCAGCTCAATACAACATACTTTTCAGACTATTAAAAACCATTAAAAAGAATGAGGTAACAGAACAAATCATGTTGAATCAAAAGCACGATTTTAAAAAGGAAAGTTTCAAATCATTCTAAATAAAAATAGAACTATATCTTAAATATAATGAAATTAAAAATTATCAAGGCATCTAATATAAGGTAATGCATGCATTAATGCCAGTGCAGTTATAATATGTTTATGTTTACAATATGTTTATGCTCTGAATTTCTTAAAATAGATATATCTGTCACTATTTGAAAGAAAACAAAACTGTGGTTTCAATAGTTTGACAACCTGCAGACTTGACATTTAATATGCTTTAGGGGCTTCAAATGCATTTTGTAAAACGTCTTATGCAGAACCCTAAGAAAGGGTTATTACATAACACCACTTTTTTCAATATGAAAATCGATCAATGTTGACAGAATCAAATAATCTCACAATACATGATAGACGGTCATGGACAAAAGCAATACCATTAAGTCTGCCACTAATATAGTATTAAGATGCCACTGGTTTGCTGTTTAGATATAAAATTATATTCTAAAACTGAAGCATTACTTTGGTGCTACCGACAGAGCCGCATACTTCAATAGGAAAGCCATAATAAGTCTACCACATGAACTGCTGCAAATGAAGTACAAAGTGGACATGGCATGTACCAACTACCATAAAGTAAAAAACCATGAAGCATATAGACGTGCCAGTCTTAGACACACCTTGCTCTTCCACCCCAGTGTAGACTAGCACAGCAAGTTGTACTATGAGATGAAGGGAGAGAGAAAAAATTACATTCAGTCATATTCTTTAAACATATTCTTTTTGCAATCCACAAAAAAGAAAAAAAATATTATGTGAAACTTATCTCCATTTATATTACCACATGGGTCATGCAGGAAATACCATTGGCTTATAAGAATATTTCCCAGTTAATTCTACTTCCAGACAAGCACATTTTCAATGTGAAAGATGAGAGACTTTGAGCTGAAATTTGAAAACCCCAAACACCAACAAACTCTTGAAACACCTAGAATGCCTTACCTGCATACTGCTGTAACTGTTCATATTTGGCTCCCTTATGGTACCTGGCCAGCTTGAGGCGCACCACCTGCCCTGTGTGTCTGAGCACCTCCACTGCTTGGTGGTTGGAGTAGCCTTCAAGGGACTGGCCATCCACCTAGAACAAACAGTTCAGACAGTGTTCATATTTAAAAGAATGACGATGATTACAACTAAATAAGAACATCTGTTACTGTACCCATTATGTGTGAGGATATATAGCTGAATAAGGTATATATATATATATATATATATATATAGCAAACTTTCTGTCCTAACATTCATGTTACAGAATGTACAATTTAATGCTGCCTAATTTACTTTATTTATTTTTATTTTCTTTTTTATTATTTATTTATTTTTTTTTTTTTGGGGGGGGGGAGGGGTCTATATTATATAGAAATATCATCAATACCAGTTGTTTTTGCCTATGAGTCATTCTCTTACCTGTATGATTTGATCATTTACTCTTATTCTGCCTTCAACGTCTGCAGCACTTCCCTCAGCAACACTTTTCACAAAGATTCCAGACAGTTCTGAAATGAAATGTCAAAAAAATTCAACTACAAATGTCTATTGATTTCTACTGCATAGAGACTAAAATGGCAACCATTGTAATGTTTCCAAACTGACTGAGATAAAAGAAAGTAAAGAGACAATAACCCCCTTTAGGATGTCTGTCAATAAATATAACATCCTTCAATTTTCCACAAAATTAATTTCAAAACTAAACATCATCCCCTAACAAGACCCAAAGCTCTGACCAACATCAAGTCATTTTCTTTTCCATAGAGAAATGTGATACACACGACACATTTACATCAGACTATACTGCTAGCTTTCTCACAGCTTTTTCCACGTTTTTACCTGCAGACTTGTCCCCCACATAACCAGCTATGGTAATCCCCAGACCTTGGGAGCCTTTGGAAAGTTCCACCTCAAAATACTCCACCTCTGGGTCTTCCTCAACCTCAGGTTCCCTTGGAGGCTAAGAGCAGAATGATCAAACGGTAAATGCATTTCATATATAAAATTTTTTTTCCTATTTGTCATACAACTAAGTAAAATTTCTACGGCATCTTTTTTAAAGGAAAAATATCAGGAAAATGTAGTTTAAGATGAAACATGAATTAATAATTTACCTTTATTATAAGACAACAGGGGTTTTACCCATCTATTAAGTTTCACCAATTTTATTTAACAGATGAGAGGTGATAAACACTCATATCCAAAACGCGTAGCAAAAGTATCTACATTGCATTTCAACCAAAGACTTTTCTATATTAGTTGCTATAGAAGTTTACTTTTTACTTCTTTTCAAAAGCAGGCAATCAAGGCCAATAAGTCGAAAGCACACATCATATCAGCTCAGAGGGCATCTATAATCATCAACAATCAAACAGCTCCTCATGTGAGTGCTTTTGATTACTAATTGATACTCCTACTATTCTTGATGTTGCGACATGCAATCACTCATTTAGCCTTTCATATAGATAAAGCACTCAGACAGAGATACGCCTCTGCATCCAGACAGATCAGATATTTCAACTGCTTGCCGTATCTGCAGTGATGTGCATCAGAAAACGAGGAGATTTGATTTTAATAATTTAATGCAGAAGAAAATCAAAAGAGCATTGCAAGAAAAAAAAGCTTATCATGCAAATCTTATGAAAAAAGTTTTCAACATTTTAATTACACAGACTTTGGTATTGGATTCAAAAAACATGAAAAGCGCCTTAGAGACAAAACATCAGGCTAATCATTTGATAACATTGAACAAATACAGTCACAAGCTCATTTTGAGACTATAAATATACATGTGACCAATATTGTTGCAGAATGCTGGGAATAAACATGCTGGGAGTGAAAAAGGGCAATTGTTCATGCACAAAGCTTTCAGGGGGTGTATCTACCTCAATGAAGTATTCATAACCCTGTAATATATAAAACATAACTGTCTGTGTTACTAACCAACAAAACAACAAATGTACATGAAATAAAAGGTTCAGGACTAAGTTTCTTGTATTGTGAGCAAGTGTGGTTTCATATTTGAAATACATTATATATAAAAATGATTGATAACATGAGAAATATCCTACTGGAACAAAAATACTAAGACAATTGTAGACAAGGTATACACAGGTTTGGGAATTGCCTCTGGTCTGTGTTTTACATCAGGTGGAGCCTCTAGTCAGGTAGCAAATTGCAAATATTAAATATCTGCAGAGGTTTCCAGCTTATGTCCACCTCCTGTCCATCTAGTGTCCACCTAGTCACCAAGTGTCCCAGTATTTTTACAATAGGTACATGTTCCACATATCATAATTAAACAAATGGAACAAAAAATCATTCATAATCTTAGAAAGGTTATGGTTGTTTTGGTATAATTCATGTGAGGAGGGGTTAACACTTACTGTAGACAGAGGCTTGAAAGACATATATGCAAATGAACAAAGTAACCATGATATATAAAAAAAAATCAAAAACTTTAACAGTTTCTTTAAGTTTTCAAATATACCCTGGAAACTTGCCTATGTTAAGTACACCATTCCCCAGTACACAATCCACTAGGATGATATCTAACATCAAACAACACCCAGCTGCTATGACACATTATACAGAAACAAGAGACCTACACCAACAGGTTTACTCTTTCCACAAGTGAACTCAAATATGACCTCCATTACCTCATGTACTTGAGCCTGTTCAATATACTCTGAGGTCAGCTGCCCAGTGAGGGGATCAATGTGTCCATGCATCAAGCCATAGTCTATTAACTGGTCATGACTCTCCACCTCCAATAGCGTGGCATACAGATGCTGCAGGTGCTCATCCAGTTCATGTGTGGGGACAATGGGAGCTAGTGGGTTCTGTGCTGTGGGAGGCTCGGTTACACCCCGGGCCACAACAAGGCGGACATGACTCCCCGATTGGCGCAACACTGCAGCCACCTGCTCAGAACCCATGCCGCGTACGTTAACGTCCCCAATCTGGAGGATGTGGTCTCCACTGTGCAGTCGGCCATTCTACAAATTTAAAGCAACAATTGAAGATTAAGAGTGTCATATTTTCTGAAGACCATGTCATATTGGATGATGTGTTTTCACTTTGAGGTCTCCCATACTGCTCAATAAGGGTAAAGAAAATAGTGTCCGGGGGGATTCCTTTAACTTCTTAACTTTGGGGAGAGATTCCCAAGTTTTATGTCTTAAACTCTGCTCTTAGAAAAGAATGTTAAGACTACATTTTTAATTCAACAGAATACATTTATTATACTAAAAGGCCACACAATACTGTGCTGGACAATCAATCAAGACCTCCTCATATCAATTAAAATATAAATCAACAATATCAATATCTGATCAGTTCCTTCTAAAGACATGCACAATTAATTATCCTTGTCTATTTCTACTGACTTCATAAACATTAAAAGCTATAAAAATTCAATGGGATAATACAATTACTGACAAATCATTAATATATTATCAACAAATATGGGTTCCTAACAAGAGAAATAAAACGTCAACAAAAACACCAAACTGAAAAAGTGCTGTCAGACTTCAACCTTTACTAAAAAAAAAATCACAAGATTTTGATTGCAGTCAAATTTTACCTTGTCAGCAACTCCACCAGGAAGAATGGTCTTCACCACCACACCAGTGCTCTTGCCTCCAATAATGCCAAACCCAAGGCCACTACCATCATTAAGAAGGTCAATTACTTCGATTTGAGTCCATTCTGTGCTTATCTGAAAAAGCAAAGAGTATGTGGTCATTGTATGTGATAACGTACCAGTTACAATAATAAAGCATTTTCAATTAATTAACAAACACCTGCTAGTGCCTTTGACCCCCCCCCCTTTCCCAAATTTTTGAAACAAATGAACTATATCTTTACACATTAAATCAAATAAACTAATTCTACTAAGTTGGTACAATATGTTTTTTTGAAAAATGTGAAAACACAAATTAATGCTTACTTTACTGTTTTAAGAAACCAAATTAATGATATAAGTATGATGGTAAATTTACAGCTCAATTATTTAAACTTAAGATAAAGGTTAATGGTATGCTGGTAATTGTAGTAATATGACCAAAAAACAAAATTAATGATATAAGTATGATGGTAAATTTCCAGCTCAATTATTTAAACTTAAGATAAAGGTTAATGGTATGCTGGTAATTGTAGTAACATGACTAAAAAACAAAGTAATTAGGATCACCCTAGTATACAATGAGATGACACACATTATTCTCATGCAAATGAGTTATTTGGCTGTCTGAAAAAAATTGACCAAACTCGCCCTTTTCATTCACGAAGTTGATTGCTATTTAAATTAACTGACAGCAATAATTTACTGAATTATTCTTTTGAAAGAAAGGACGTTATCAGTTTTACATTGCAAGAATCAACGTAGGAAAGGGCAAAATCTTAAAAGCATAGAAGTAATAATTGCCCTTCATTTTGTTAAGCATTAATCAGGGTTATAAATCCAGGAATTAAGTTATAAAGACTATGTATCCAGACAAGTGCCCTTAGTGGCATAAATAAACTCACAAATTTGCCAATAAACTGAAATGATGGTAAAGTAACAGTCATTCCTGCAATAAGTACGATAAGAAATCGGGACATCTGCCAATCTTTAAGTGATTAATTAACAAACTGGGCACCTTAAACAATTCTGAGACATTGGATTATATGTTCTATCAAATAAGCTTTCTTCAGAAACAGGAGACATCTCAAGTCACAGGGAAAGCAATGACTGCTAATCATTAATTCCCTTAGGGTCTCAAAAGGAAACAATATACAGAGTAATCTTAACCAAATTTCCTGCAATGTATTTTTTCATCCTGCAAATTCTTTCCAACACGCCATAAAAGCAACACGTAAGTCTTTTACAGGTTTCACAGCAACACTGAAAAGGATGCAAACTGGCAACTGGTCTTATAGCGAGTTCCTAGAATGTCCCTAGTTCTACCCCATTTACTTTCCACATGCACATTCAGAACAAGATACAAACATAAAAATTGCAAAATGGCAGTTGCATGAAGATGTTAAACATGCTGGATTGTGAATTAATCACTTATGGGAATTAAGATATGAACTGTTAGCCAAAACAGAGCATCTAATGAATACACAGAGGCTTTTAACAATACACCATAGTATTACAATGACAAGGGATCAACCTCAGAATTACCATAGGTATGGATTTTACCTGAAGATTCAATCCTTCGAGGTTATGACGTCGTTCACGAACCACATAAACTGCCGTCAAAATAGCACTGCAGTATGCAACGCTTAGTTCCATATCATTATGACTCAAAGCCATTGGAATATTTTCCAAGTGAACTTGTAAATGATGTGCTGTCCGTTTTCAGAGAAATTTCTCATGAGCTGCCACGGCTTTCAGTTCCCCGTGTAATAAATGTTTTTCCACAGTGTTCCAAAGCCAATGATTAAATCAGGTAAACAATAGTGCAATCAGGAGGACAATGTTGTTCCCAAAGGAAAATAAAATTAGGGATGTTGGCTTGCAACCATTAAGAACAGGGCTAAAGAAACAACTTTCACTCCTTGCCAACCAACTTTTTTTACTTTGATGTTTTGTTACATACTTCCCTCTTTGCTTAACCATACATTTTCAAAACCTTAAATGACCTTTCAGTATAACATCCAAATACAATGGCTACATTATTCTATTGGTCTGTGACCACAACAAATATCAGGTGAATAAAAAAAAAACCATGAAAGCTTCCCTTTGATACTTTGTTTGATAGCGTTACAATGATTCTAAGAATCCACATAACTAAATTCCTCTCTAATTTCCTGTAGGCCTTATAATCTGACACTCAATATTGTTCACACAACTCGAACATTCAGCCTGAAAATGAAAAATAACCTCTTCCTTTTAAACAACTGTGAAAGCATGAACATGTTCCATTAGTCCTCCAATAAAGCCCTTCAAATAATAGTTTCAAGCTCAGTATGCTTGCATTCAGTTTTTGAATTCTGAAGCACTGGCATAGAATTCAAACAGCAGGGCAAATATGGTGTCTGCTTTATCCAGATTCCTACATGTGCAAACCCATTATCACCACCATAGTCAGCCACTTCTGCATTAAAGCACTCATCAAACATCTGTGATAAAAATACAATGATTATGTGATGCAAAAAAAATGTTGTATTCCAAATGTTACATATCACATTGTGTACACCGATTCTGGAATTCTTCAATAACTGCTAAATCCACTGACAGTTTTGGCCTGTCTGTTTTTTTACTGCCTGGATTCCATTCTTACTATTCTGAACCTTCTTCAACCCCAACTGCAATTTAGATCATTTATAAAGGGTTTCTCAGACACTTCTGTGACATCTTCCCAATCTATAATACGCCAGCTTGTGATGGTTAGAAATACAACTTTATAAATGAACCTTATTTTTTAAGCCTTCAGGATTGTATTGGACATGAAACTTGACTGAGGATCAATACTAAATTGCTTTTTCTCTCAGAGAGCGTGTAAGAAACCTTCAACCCTTTTCACCCCTCAATGCTTAATAAGAGGTGACCACAGGCAAAAGAAACATTTATTCAATTTGGTTCTTAACCATGATTAATACATCCCCCAGCAAACTTGAAAAACCTTCCTACTTGCTCTCATAATAGAAATTTGTTTGCATTACAGAAGGCAACACTGCTATATTAAATGGTGATCGAATTATCTGAATGCACACTTCAAAGACTCATCTTCAAAAAATTTGCTCTGTCTTTTTTTCCAGAGAACTTCCTTCTCTCATTCCACATAATCCAGCTGGAATGCTTTTCCTTTGACACTTATGTTTTTCTTTTTGAATCAGATCATATCTGTTTCCAATTTGCAATGACTTTGGCCAAATATACTTATTCATACCAATTTTGGGGTAACCATGGCATAGCCTCTGTCGCACCTAACACAATGTCTATCTGACCAAGATACTTGCAATCTTAAAGGGGCATAAAAAGCAGTTTTTGTTGGAAAAGTTTTTGTTGGAAATGATACACAAAAACACCACTTTCACAACATCAAACACGCGCCCAGTACATAGAAATAAGGACCTAAAAATCCCATTTACATCCCACGATTGTAACATGCCTTGCATGTCACGTGACTCAGACTTCACAGAAATAAGTGACCATCATTTTTTCCCCTGTAAACTCTTAAACTCACCACCATGTCGGAGTCAGGTCCAAGAGTTGTTGGTGTCTTGTCAGCAGACGGTGGTCCTGAGTGGTCAGATCTTGGGATGGGGCCCCTGGCTAACACAAGTTCCACCAATCCTGTTGCCTTTTGTAAAATGCTTATGGCGTTTTGGTGGGAGATGTTGTTTGCCAAGGGCTGCTTGTCTATGGCCAGTATCTGGTCACTTTCCTGGAGCTGACCATCTCTGAAACAAACAAAATGAATTTATCAGTAAACAACGAAGAACAAAACAGTTCAAACATCCCATGATCTGATACTCGCATGCAGGTGGTAGAAAACTTAATTATTTGAAACAATTACATACATGTTGAACACAAACCACAATAGCCAACATATGAACCAAAACAGCCACGGCTAAGGCAGGCCAAGTCCTTCAGTCCAAATAGTCCTCCCCAAGTTGACAGAGAAATTAAAAAATCCAGTGTGTTATACAAGCATATTTCAAGTTTATACAGACTTCCGAAAGATCAAATTTTCACTCGAGTACGGCTAAAATATTGTAAAGTCACCGGAGTAAAGTATCTTCTCTATTAACCATGACACATGTAATCCCTGAATAGTGGAGTCTCTATGGATATGACCAAATCATAAACAGATAGTTCCAAAGATTATACAATACTCTAAGGATACCATAATCACCATTTCTCTCTCTCTTAGGATTTTTTCCAAGCCATTAGCATCGGTGCTCCTGCTTCTCTTTTAAACATCACTTGGTGATCATTTTTGATCATTTTCTTAATCTGAACAAAAACATAAATTCACCAACGCAACTGAAGATAAATATCACAGTTGAGATGCGATAATGTCACACAAAAGACCATTATATTGATGTCAATAGCGAGCACCAAAATAATCAAACCAATATGCTTGTCTTTAAAAAAAACAATACATTTACCTATTCTTTGAACAAAAAATAAGCAAGCAATAGTTCTATTTTCATCTTTGAATAAAAAATTAGCATGCAACTTTATTTTTAAATAAACAATAGTCAAGCAAATGTTCAGTTTCTCCTTTGAATTAAAAGTCAGGCAATTGTTCAATCTTTTCACCTGCAGTATTCATAACTGTCACCCCGCAAAACTTCAACAGAGGATGTTTTCTCATATATCATCATCCATTTCCATGAAACATGACAACTCTTGATTAAATGTTATTAAAAGCAACTGAAAGGTCTTGTTTGAGGTATCTTCAGTACATCCTGAATCAAGCAAAGATAGTAAGATTTCCCCCATTTCAGACTTAAAAGCTGATGATTTGACATACACTATCCACATTTCACATTTGCTGTATAAAAAAGAAAGAAAAAAAATGCGAGGAGAACATTCTGGTAATGAGAAAAATATGAGACACCATGACTGTTTCTTGCTAATCCTTTCTAAAGGTTCATGCCCAGCATGGGCTGCAACACAAGGAGAGAAGTTATTGAAAGCCTAATCCAATCCGTTCAGTATCTGTTTGACTGGATAATGAATTCAGTTTTAAAATGAAAAGGGAGGATATGCCACTTCAATAAAAGAAAAGGGTGATCTTGGCCAAGGCACAAGAGGGACAACAACAAATTGGAGATGAGTGATATTCATCTTCGTGTTGCATTCAACAGACTTCAGTCTTCTGTAAAACTCAAGGCTAGAGAAGGACAGAGAGAGAGATAGACATTCAATGATCTTTCCTGTTATCTGGCAATGACAATTTGCATTTTAATAACTTTAATTAAGAGCAAATGCTATAGCTAGTTTTAAAACAAGGCAGCAAAGCTGTCAAATGTACAGACAAAAAGCAGGAAATAACTATGCACAAAATAGGCTACTGTCAATTCTGATGCAAAAGTACATTATGTTAAACTGCAAATTCAACATCAAATTTTAATTATGCTCAACAGGTAATACCAATGTAAGTAAAATGTGTAACAAGCATAAGGCTTCAGGCCCATGGCAGTTAAAGTTCACACTTTGAAAATGTATAACTTCCAGAAAAAGAAGCCAATTAGACTGCTTTTCCAACTCAGGCTGCATTTTAGTCCTGTATTTCTTTTTTGAACGTTTGTCAATCATCAGTAACATGGTTTTCCCATAATGGTCATCATGGCAGCAGCACCCAAAATTGTGTTTTCTTCTATTCTGATGCAATATTACATANTAAAGCCAAAAAGTAAAACTGTCTTCCACTTATCCTGTTAACGATGAAAGTGCACGGCGACGGCGACGGCGACGGCGACATCGACGGCGACAGGGACGGCGACAGGGACGGCGACGGCGACGACAGACGCAGGTGATGGCAATATGTACAGACACATCTGTGTCTGTACATAAAAATGATAATAAAAAATAAAATACTTGGACAAAATTCACACAATGAAATAAATTGACACATGCCACAATTCTCCAAACCTTTGCATGTCACATATATTTATACAGATTTTTATACTTTTAACAAAATGAAGTAGACGTGTGGGGATGTCACCAATGCCACAACTGACTTTCTCAGAAAACTTAACAACAGCCCATGAAAAAAATTATAAATCGTCTGGAATGGTAATATTCTACTTATTGGAAACAAGCCTGGGGTCTTTTATTTCTATGAATTTTGAAAATGGGTTTATCGCCACCAAAAAGTCTTCAGCAATGCATTAAGCAAAACATAAAAAAATTCTGCTGCCTCAAATAACAGAACACATGCATGATGCATAGGATACCTTATGATGGTTTACCTACAAGTAAACAAAACGAACTAAAGAAGTGAAGGTGTCTGGAGTCAGCTTGATGTCCTGGTAATGGCACACATTTTTGGGAATGTTGGCAGTTCATCTTTGTTCTTGAATGCAATGGGCGCTGCAGTTTAATACCAAGTAGTTTAAAAATGACATTTTTGAGTTTTAAATCTATTGCTTTTTCTGTTGATTTAAAACTGTTTTGCTATTATATATCTCTCTTTGAATCAATCATGACTGGAAGACATAATTGTCAAAATTGGAAGACATCAAAATTGTCAGAAGTGGAAGACATCAAGAAAGTGGGCCTCCACAATGAGTGAAGTTGGTTCTATTTTGGTAATCCCATGCCATCTATAGAATTGTAAGGCAAATTAACTGGATAACTATTGGCATATTCAAAATGGTTTTTAGCAATTTCATCAAATGTCTTAAAAGTAATACAAATTGGTATTGGATCACTGCACAACAGATGGTTAAATGCTTGCCAGTGAAGGAGGAGGGGGGGACTTACTGGGGTTGATATGAACTGCCCTTTTTGGCAGGGAAAAAGGTCTGCTCTAGGTAAAATTTGATCTAGGAACATGGAGGTTTTATGGTAAAAGATCCACTTTTTTACAAAAAGACCTCCCCCCCCCCCCCACCTTCAAAATTGATTGCTATGGGCCTGTTGTGCTATTGAAAACATATGCATTTCCTCAACCCAATGACAAAGTCTAAAATTATCCCATAAGGTGCACAGTTTATTCCTCCTTGGTCAAAAAAAAAAATTTTGCTACCAACACAGTCAATGACTACAAGGTGTTGATCAAACAAATAATTCATTTAAAACTGCACTGGTCCATTACCGTAATGGATGTGGTAATAAGATAATGGGATCTTCAGCTTAGATGGTCAATCTTACAGTTGTAATCCACTGTGGAAAAGCCCAGTTGGAAGAATTCAAGAGCAGAGCTCTACTAAATTTTACCATTTTATGCCTTACATATGAAAAAGCTACATCCATCATTCATCATTCTGCTTTCATTCAAAGTTAAGCTTGAAGAAAAGATTATTATCATTATTATTATCATTATTATTATCATTATTATTATTATTATTTACTGACAAACAGTAAAGGCTTGCATCTACCAGATAATTCATTTAGTTAATAAAAAACAACAAAGATCTGAGAAGGTTGGTGAAAATAAAAATGCAAATAAATCATACTACTTATTTTTGACAAAATTATGATCATCCTTAGCATTCTCTTCTTTAGCAATTGAAATTAAGTCTACTTACATCATCTAAATCTTCAATTTAAGACACAAACACAATACTTACAATCTCAATAGATTGTTCTCACACAAATCTTGCTAGTTCCAGCCTATTCAAGAAATTGGTTTTTCAAAGGTGTATGAGGAGTTACATAGAACAAACTCTAGCCAAAAGGCTCCCTGCTATTTAAAGCTTTTTTGATATGCCGTAGGTTAGAATTTTCCCTTGCCCCTCCTAACAGCATTACTATTCAAATATACAAGAATTAGCTTGAGAGTATAGCGTCAGGTGTTGAAAGTCTTTCCCCGCTGTCCTGGGATTTCACTTCCCAGGTCGTTCTATAGAATTGGTAAGAACATCACCAATTCTCTGCTTATCATTGGGGATCAGAAGAGCACTTGGTTATTTCATCCCATAATGAAATTTCCCAGGCTATCCCAAAGCTACAACACTATTCACTGTAAGATGTGCAATTGTTCTGATGCTGAACATTGTGTCTCTTATCATCAAGCTTCTTGATGGACTGAATACTACATGGTCAGAATATATACAGAGACATAAAAATCACGCAAACCACACATTATGCAAGTCAATCTTTTTAGCTTATGGCAGCAATTGTAACAGTGGACAATTTTACCCTACATTCCTTTTTAGAAAATTGCTGACAGGATCTCATCTTTCAGACTGTCTTTTGTGTACTATTGTGTCTAGGGTTGGCCACAAAATACAGCTATCTACGGATGACTACAGCATCTTTGTGTTGGCTGCAAGTATTGAGAAACTTCTGCTTGATCTTCAACCCATATGTGAGTAACGAGAAAAATGGAAAAAGCAAAAAGTCACTTTAATATAAAAATGGCACCGTTTCTTAAAATACACCAGATTCTACAGCGAAATACTTTCTCTAAAGAATCTTAACTATCACCTTCAAAAATGCTACATTATGTGCATAGTATAATATGGTTTCTTCAAAGAAATTTAATGAAAAACTATCTCAATGTGTGAGGTCTTTAACACTTTCAACAGGTTTGTTTTTGCTCCTAAACTACTGAAAAAATGACCTATTATTTGCAGTTTAAAAACATTTTACTCTTTTCTTTTAGCTAAAAGGCAGAACTTGCTACGTGTTAAATGATGAGAAATAAGATCAAGTCATCGGCAGCCTGCAGACAACATCTTAGCAATGGGATTAAATGAAGCAAAAAGAAAAGAGACCTTTT